ATCAACGAAACTGGTCTGCCGCTCATCAAGGACATGAACGACCCCAACACCCCTGAAGGGTTCGTCATTGCACAGGCTTTCAATGAGTAAGTTTTAAATATCGTGACATACTAAATCATAGAAAGATACGTCTTAACCGCGTGAACTACCTGCTAGTGTGCTACCTGCTAGTGTTTATCTATAAGGGCCCCATTGTGACTCGAAACTAGTAGAGCTTTCCTCAATTAGTTTACGATTCACTTTCTATGTTTATGATTACACAATTGAGTTAGTTTTGAGTAAGTATATTTTCAAATAATTGAGTAACTTTAATTAAAACCAATGTTGGTAAATATTTATATTTCGTTTCGAGTTAATTAAAATAATAATGCACTTTTATAGCTGCATTTTTCTTATAACTCGATTATAACTGATTATTCACAATTACAAAAAAGGTCATGAAAATCAGTCTAGCAGTTCTTGAGTTTACGACCACAAAACGATTAAGAAAATCCAACATAATTCAGTTGTAATAAATATGAACAGTGCAAGGTGAATATACTTAGTTTTTATCTTAAAGATTTGATAAGTAGATACCTAACCAACGTGATCCACACAGTAACAACAGTGATATCATATAGAATCAACAATTATTGTTCATGTACACGAATAATAACATTTAATTACTGTGAAGCTTCTAATTCTAAAACAATAATATGTTTATCTAATCAAGTCTATAAAAAAAATAAGGAAATAAAACCAATGTGTAGACGGTTGTTATCTGACTCCTTAATTATGACTAATTACCTAACTGTTATTGTCTAGTAGTTATAAGATAGGCTGTTTACCATGTGGTCGGAAATTAAATTTGAGGAGCAGGTAAAAGTTTTTTTCTTTATTGTGGGTGTAGTAATTACAAAGTACAGAGTTAATAGCGGGTCAGTCTATCTCTAGGAATAGAAATAGCTTAGAAATCTGTAGCTACTTAGACATGTAAATAACTCAGTAGCTGTTGTTGCATAATCGGCATCATTTCTTTTTTTATACCACGACGGTGGCAAAAAGTTAAAGGCCCATCTGATGGAAAGTAGGTACCGTGGCGTTTGAACGCTCGCAACACTTGGAGCATTACGTGCGCCTAGCTGACCTTTGAAAAACCTATTGAGGTACTCCCTTCTTGAAGAACCCCCTGTTGTAGCATACTGGGAAAACCTCGGCAGAGTTGATTCCACAATCGGAGGGTCCGTAGGAGGAAATTCCTATGAAACCGAATTGTACGGGACCATTTGAGCTCCAATGTGTGTGCGTGAACTCCATCGATGGTGAGAGATGCGGTGATAGAAAGTGGTCGCATCATGTACCGTAGATTGCAAAATGCCTACTTTTTATGAAAGTGATATCTTCAAAAGGACTAGCTTTAGGGAAAAAGACTATACCTATCTCACTAAAACTACTCCGGTGCGGTGGCCACTATCAGCACCTTAAATAGTGCGTTCTCTGAATAGACTAATCATAGCCCGTATAATTTATACGATATCAGGCGTTATTAACTTATGAGATACCGCTCTCATTTTTATAAGAACAGCCGGAATTAATGAATATAAATGTACTGTGGATTACGTGGATTAAGATCGATTGTTGGTATTAATATTGTACCTAGAGTTTCTATAAAAAACTTAGATCAACCTAGATAATTTTAGATTAAAGTCAGTCAACAACAGCTTTTAGTTTTAAACGAAAAATAATCGTTTCAGTAATGGCCAACGCTACACCACAGCACGGGCCTACCTGCCTCCCAAATCAGAACGCCCGAACTTGAACGTCAAGCTCCATGCTCACGTGACCAAAGTCCTATTCAGGCGCAAGAAGGCTATTGGAGTAGAATATGTGGATGAAAGTGGAAATACTAAAGTTGTGAAGGCCCGTAAAGAGGTGAGTTTTTTTTATGGCATAAACCGGTAAACGAGTAAACGGATCACCTGATGGTTAGCAATCGGCGTCGCCCATGGACACCTGGAACATCAGAGGCGTTACAAGTGACTTACCGGTCTTTTGGGGATTAGGAGTTTAAGGATCGTTGGTAAAAAAATTTAGATAATTACACTATTCCCCATACCGCAAAAGGACGATGAAACAAATCGATAATCTGATAAAAAAGTTAGAGAATATTCATAGATCAGATATGGTAAACGTCTAATGTACAGGACACCTACAGTCGAACAACGAATCTTCACGATCTGTTGATGTTTTATAAGCATTTTAATATAAGTTTGCTTAATTAAGCTAAAAACCCTTTTTTCCAGGTTATCCTGTCGGCAGGATCCTTAACCAGTCCAAAGATCCTGTTGCATTCGGGAGTGGGACCAAAAGAGACGTTAGAACCTTTAGGCATCAAGGTTATCGAGGATCTACCAGTTGGAAAGAACATGAAGAACCACTGTGGAGCAACCCTGTACTTTATTCTGAAGAAGGTGAAAAATACCCAGGTCCTCGACTGGAGTGCTCTGACCGACTACTTGCTACAGAATGATGGGCCCATGTCTTCCACTGGAATTACACAGGTGAGCGAGGATGCCTCGAAAGTTTAGAATATTGTATTTTTGTAAAATCTTGTTTTTTTTTCTTGTTGGTCAAGTGTGACTAGCAAGCAAGGAGTCTTGGGATTTCAGGTAAGGTCACCATACATGTACATTAGTACGTAAGTATATCATAGCTGTAAGATGTAATTGAGTAGCTACTTATGTGTAGGTAAGTGTAAAAAAAAGAAAATGGTGAGATACGTTCTCGGTCTCGGATTTCCCACGAGAATCTGCTATGCAATCTGGCATATCCTAATTTTGAAAATATTTTCTTGTTTACAATTAAATAAATTTTAAAACAGGTACTGTCTGTGCCGTGTCCCCTTCATGGAGTTAGAACGGGTTGGTTTTTAATCTGTAAAAGTTAAATACTACCTTCCACCTCAACCAAGGCGTGAGAAATTATTACCTAGATAGATGATTTTCCACCTACAAACAACGATACTTTTACCACAATTTTTTTTTTTATTAGTTATGTACCATACCTACATATACGCACACCTCTATTCCTACATCTCCTGATCAATAGTTGCTTATACAATGACTGTTTTATTAAACATATACTTGATGTTCTCTTCTTTACAGTTAACAGGTCTCCTATACTCAAGCTACGCCAAAAAGGAGCTGAAACAGCCCGACCTACAATTCTTCTTCAACGGCTTCTACGCTGAATGTTCTAAAACAGGCGCTATAGGAGAACCTGCTAATGATTGTCCTAATTCTGGTTACAATGTATCGTAAGTATACAAGTTTCAACTGTACTGTTTTATAATAGAGTTCAAAATGACGCGTAATTAAACCTTAGTGTTGTCACTAACATAAATTAAAAATCTACCAATATATAATTAATTTAATTGTCATTTGCAGAGCGAACGCAGTGTTCTTACTGCCACGTAGCGTAGGGTACATGACGATCAACTCCACCGATCCTTTCGAGCAAGCTATCTACGACCCGAACTTCTTCACAGACCCAATAGATATGGAAGCCATCAAGGAAGGACTCGACTATTTGCACCAAATATTCAATAGCCAGGTAATTAGTCTGCTAGGTTTATCCTGATATTATGATGGGTGATAGCAGTAGAACACATTCACTACTTCTACTCTTGCAACGAGTATTGTAAGGCTACATTTGACAGCGATCAGGTAGTAGAAATTTAAGAATAACCTGAACTTTTTTTTACTCTGCAACGGAGCGATTTTCAAGTATACCTAACTAATTTTAGAGAGAGTTAGGAGGTTGAAAAATGATAAACATTTTTCCTTTGGCTATTCGGACAAAATCGCGCGTTGCAGATGATGCTATCTGTATTACTTACATCTTAGTATTTTTTATTTAGTTTAATAAATAATGTGATCTTTACAGCTTCTTCAAGAGCAATATGAAGTGGAACTAGATCCAGCGTTCATTGATAAATGTACGCAACCGGCTTGGTCTGATGAGTGGAAGGAGTGCATGATCAGACTGCATACTGATCCTCAAAACCATCAACTCGGTACCTGCGCCATCGGGAAGGTCGTTGACCCAGAACTTAGAGTTTACAATCTTAAAGGTAAGGTACTAAGATGTCTTTCGGGGGTTATGAATATGAAGTATGAACCTTTTTACAAGCTTTTAGAACATGAATTTACTGAACATGAATTTACTGAACATTATTTTCAGAATCGAAATTACTTCTCAGTCAAAGCATTTATTTCAAACTTCAAATGTAGATTGCGCCGAACTATGGGCAACACCAAAAGAAAATGCACTCAGCACTCGTTTCTTTTTCATGCTTTGCACACTGTTAAGTGAGTGTGTGTGACCTTAGTTGTGCAAGAGTTCGAGCCATCAATGAATTAATAACCCTATGTTCTAATTTCAGCATTAAGAGTATGCGACGCTGGATCGATGCCATCACAGCCAACAGGAAACCCTCAAGGCGCCATTATGGCAGTTGCCGAAAGATGCGCACACTTCATCAAAGAAGCCTGGCAATAAACCAAATAACCCACAATGATCTTAAACCCATACGATACGACATAATTTACAAGAATGAACCTTATTACCCAGACATAAAGTTCAGTTCTTATTAGATTCCAAAAACTTTATTTAATTTGCCATTCAAAAATCAACCAAGACTGCTAATAATAAAGTAGATTTTTGTGTAAATTACGTAGTTATCTCGTGTCATTGGGGATTACTATAAGTTTATGTTTGTTCCTATAAATATTATATTTAATTTTAATATCACACACGAAATTATGTATATTGTTTTCTACAACCAAAAAAATATTGCACATTTAATGTGTCTACTATGTAACTTGATGAATAAAATATTGAATATTCATCTAAATATTTACTTGGTTTTATTACTAAAATTTGATACCTTTAGTTTAGTTATAGTGTTGCCACTGACATAAGGTAAAACATACCATAATGGCTGCAAATAAAAGTCAATATGAGAGATAATAAAATTTTATAATGTAAATAAATGAAAACAAATACATACATACATGATTACGCAACTTATACACACTATATTAATACTATAAGTTAATTTTAAACCTAAAATTAAACATTTCATAATTTAAAAACAAAAAGATTTGTCATTTCAACTTAAAAACTTCATTTTTTGAGAGATGTGTTAGTATCTAATTGAAGGAATGTTAGAATTAATACTTCACCAAATAAATGAATGGCAACACTGAAATTCTAGGTGTACAGGTGCGTAGAAAACTGATGTCATAATAACAAAGTAGTGGTATTCATGATTTCACATTACATACTTTTAATTTAAGATATGCCAATTTTCATACAATATTGTAGTCCAGAGCTTAATTTATGTTCATTGCACAATTCACTTTAATAAATCACAAAAACTACACATCAGAATGCTGTTTATTATCTTTTAATAACAATGTTGCCAGAAACAGGAACCAATTAACTACCAATACATGAAGAGAATAAAATACACAGGCCAAACTTACAAAATTAAATGGTCCAATAATATGGAATTACAAAATTAATTTTAAAAAATGCGAAATGGAAATTGGAAATGCAATATACGTAAGAACTAGGGTATATTTAGCACCTCAGTATCTTTAAGAGATTATCCTGAAATCCATATGAATCGTAACTTAAAAATCTACTGATTCTAACCAATTTTTTAGTTTGGCAATACAATTATCAAAATGGCGTTGTTTAAGGCGGGTAAATTCAGTCAGAGGACCAGAAATAATAGGAATATCATTGTTTTAACCACATTTATCTCATAAGTACTTCATTACTCTGACTGGACAACATTAGAGAAAAATCTGAACAAATTGGGGCTCTTGGTATTAAGTACAAAAGTGAAAATAGATACTTATAATATTGTCACAAAACTTCGTTTTATAATTGCTCACACTTATCATTAAATGATCAAAATTATTGCTGTTCTAGGTCGAAACCTTAATATGTATGCCACAATATAATTAGAAGTAATCTAATTAGGCTTTCTTAGCTCAAATCCCTTTGACCAAGGACATTGTAGCTCCAATTTTGAAATTTATTCTTGGTACATCTGGTTACAAAAAAAAACCTTTCCTATAATGGTCAAAGGCAACCTAAGAAAAAGCCATAACTACACTAATGATCAAATATATATTTATACACTTTGTAAAAAAGATCAATTCGCGTTTAATTTATCCAATTGAATAAGCTCTACATCAGCTACATGATTAGTAATCAATCTCTAATGTGTTTACACCCACCTCAAGATTAAATATCTTATTGCTCATCCTTGTCCTTAGCTCCATGTTTAAGAATACGTGTGAACTCTACATAGTCAAAGAGTCCATCACGGATGGGAGCCTCTCGGAGCATCTCGTCAACATCATCATCTGTGAACCTGTCTCCCATTGTAGTCAGCAGCTCACGGAGACGTTCCTCATTGATCACACCTTGGTTCTCTTCGTCAAAGCAACTGCAATAGATTAAAATAATGAATGAGTTAAGATTATTACAGTACTATATTATTACAGCATTAGAAATCACTATAAGTGATAAGACCGCCTATTATTATTATTTGCATTATTATTTTTATTTATGTTTGTCATTTCCTTTTCTGTATGTACTGTATTATTAATGTTGTACAATAAAGTTATATTCTATTCTATTCTACAGTAAGCACAAAATTTGTGTGTTGGGTAAAATTTGTATGTGCGTGTATATTGGCATTTGAACTAATATTATGAAAAAAGATTTGATTATATAGTTTGTTTGCATTCGAAACTAATGGAGTAACTCGCAAATCAACATCGTAACACGAAATCTTGCGTTAATTCTAATCTTGTGTTATGTTTATTCATCTTAGCTAAAAATACACACACCTTCAGAACGTCATAAAAGGTGACTTGAAAGATTTTGCTTTAATTTTTAATGTTTCATAAATAAGCAGAGATACAGTGACCCATCTTTGTTTAGAGACTTGAATCACAAATAAAGTCTGATGTCATTGACTTATTCATAAAACAAATAAAAGCAACAAAATGGTGTAAAGAATAAAACATTATCAGTTCGAATTGAATATGTATGCTACGGCATTGAAGTAGTAACCATTGTTATCTGTACAATAATGAGGATAGAAAATAAATAAATGGCTACATTGTTACATCACTGCTTAAAATATTTTAATGTATGACAAATATTCAGAGAACCTTTATTATCCTTGTTGTATAATGATGTTCATGGTATGAGCAAATCCTTTACTAAATTATTATATACTTTTTCCCTTTTTGGTATTTTTCTATCCATTTTCTTATTGGAATCATGAGCCAGTTTATAGTTGTAGTACATAAAAACTTTAAACAAGATACTTCTTCATTTAATGATGAAGATAAGAAACCAGGACTAATGTCCAATAACAATAAGAGTCTATAAATGCATTATTCAATTTATAAATAAACAGCCTCAATCATAGTTTCAAAAATAAATATAAATGAGTATTCTGATGAACCTTTAGCTGCCATTATTATCATATTAACACAGCTGAGTTAGTCCTACTGTCCAGGCTATTCGGAGTCGCGGAGAACCTAACGGGTAACCGGGGCTCCGGCTCGACGTGCAGGAGAAGGAACGGGGTGGTTTTTAGTCAGTAAGAGTCTGACACTCCCTCCGCCTCACCCAGGCGGGGGCAGTCATTCGATGATTTTCCCCCCTTAAAAAAAAAAAACTGTCCAGGCTGCATCATTTGATGAATAGGTATGTGCAATCATAGGCCTTATATTGGAAATGTTTTTTTCTAATATTCCTCTGATATTTAAATGAAGTAGGTTAAAAAAAGAAAACAAGAATTTAGTGTCTTTCCCATAAACACAGTAAGATACATTTTAGTAAACATACCTTTGGGTCAATTTTTCAATGCCAGTTCACTTTATTGAAGGAATAATTATGACATTGTTCAATTCTAAATAATGTCAATTTTTCTATGTATAATAATTACCAATGTCAATTTTAAACCACAAATAAAATTTCACTGTTGATTGAAAAATCAGCCATTATAACAAACTTAGAATTTATAAAATTTAGAACAAGTTACTTATTGGTTGATAAACTATACATTAATTAAAATGATAATGGTTTCCTTGGAAGAATTTGTCATTTAAGCAATTATTGGAAAAATGGAATAAGTCCAGTCATCATCATATTATAATTATTAGTCATATGACATTATATTCGTTGGACCATAACCAGGGCAATGCAAACTCTTAGAAATCTCTATTTACTAAGGTGCCAACATAAGGTATAATTTTAAAAATATCCCCAACATCTAGGTGTCCACGGGCAGTGCTGATTGCTTACAATCAGTTTGCCTCCTATTCCATTGAATAAAAAAAATGTACCAAGAACATAATGGCTAATTACAGCACTAAGTTCTTTTAACTCACCCGAAAGCATTCTTGATGACATCCTCAGGATCTGTTCCCTGCAGGCGCTCACCAAAGAGTGTCAAGAACATGGTGAAGTTAATAGGACCAGGAGCCTCATTCATCATGCCTTCCAAGTAGTCCTCAGTGGGGTTTTTACCTAACATTAATGATTATATACAATTAAACTTTCTTATGTGAATTAGTGATTAATAATGTTCTTACTAGAAATAGTGAAACAACTCTTATATTATTATGTATGACATTGACTAAACAAAATGTTTTGTTGTTAATTTGTTTATTCTCTTCACATACATACCTACATTGGCTATTATCTTCCAATAAGTACAGAATTTAGTAATAAAGAAACTCCTTATTCTTACCAAGAGAAGCCAACATATCATGCAGGTCATCTTTGTCTACAAATCCATCTCTGTTCTGATCAATCATGTTGAAGGCTTCTTTGAACTCAGCAATCTGTGCCTGGTCAAACATAGCAAAGACATTGGAAGTGGCACGCTGGGCACGCTTCTTGTTGGTGCCACGGCGACCAGCTGTCTTGCGGGACGACATTGTGCTATCTGGAAACAGAATATAACATTAATATGATAATCTGACCAGATGGCCATACATAAAAGAAGATGCACATGACTCACAGCTTTTTGAACTTAGACCAAAATAAATACACAAGAGTTTACTACAAAACTCAAATTAGATAATTAACTTCCTTTTACAACATCAACGCTGATAAGGCAGGTAGCGAACGTAACACTGATCGATTTTCATGAAAATACAAAAAGTTACTTGTATACCTAGTTTATAAATATAATTTAACGAAGGCAAGGCGTCACTCAGCTTGTCGTCAGTTTCGTGCGCTAACGAGAAAGTGACTCACTGCCAAAAACCGCCTTCCAGTATTAGTAACGAAGTTTATCTAGGGCACACACTCCAAGGAGGCAAGGAAAGGACTTCCATAAATGGACATGCATTTACCACTTAACATCTGCTATGAAACAAGTAAATGAAAAAGTTATTCAGGTATCTAATACGACTTACTTGTATTTTTATATTCTACACAACAATAAAATAACGGTCTGAAACCGAATAAAAACGTTTTTTTCTTATATTATTCGACGATGACTAATTTGACGTGACGTCAGGTGTGTACAGCGTACATTCGAAAACCTAGTATTTTTAATTAAAGTTATTAATGTGATTAATATAGAGTTAATCAGAAACTACCTTTTAGTTTTCTGTACGGTAACAGTTCACTATGATTCAATAATATAGGGATTTTGTCATTTTTATATATTAATAAAAAGTTGCATGCTCAGTTTGGAACTTTGGAGACCTAAAAATTGTTTAAAATATTATATGTTTGGAACGTGTATTCTGTATTGCCATTTAGTGGAAATATTATGAAAGATAAATGGATAAACTGATCAAGAATGTCTAAATTTTAAATTAGAAAGTTACATTTTTTTATCTTATTATAGTCTTATCTTGCAATTATATACCTAATTTTAAATTATATTAATATCAATATCTTATTGCATATCTTTTTCACTTCACAGATTACATAATATTCTTTTATTGACTTTTGACGTAAGATTTTCCTACCAAAATGTCATAAACAGTTCCAAAATTCAACTAAATTCTATCTGGATTATTCTTAATTTATATATTTTTAATGCCATAATATTTAATTTAATTTATTTATTATATCAAAATCTTTGTTGCTCAGATTAGTAAGTAAATGAATCTCCAATGTGAGATCGTAGTTCCAATAATTTGTTTAAAGATGTTGACTCAAACTAAAGACTACTGTCTTATTTTATATTTTTTAGAAGATGCTCATCCATATTACACCAAAGCTACATGGCGTAGTACGGTCGCTAAGCACGCCGTCACGATATTTCGCCAGCAGTAGCAGTAACCACTATGACGTTCTTGGAATTACTCCTAATGCGACACAGAATGACATCAAATCCGCTTACTACAAACTATCGAAAGTATACCATCCAGACAAGTCTAGCGTAAGTATTTTTGATCTACAACTTAAATAAAACAAAACATGTTAAATAAATATTGATTATGCGGCTTTTTCAGGATGAAACATCAGCCAAAAAGTTTAGAGCCATTACTGAAGCCTATGAGGTATTAGGAAATGTTAAATTAAAAAAGATGTATGATAAAGGTTGGTTTCCATTGTTAGGCAGTTATTAGTTTCATTAAAAATCATACTATATAGATCATTTTGAAACATGTGAACTTACAAGCTTTAATAGCTTTTATGTTATTTTGCAAAGAGTCTTCAACCTTTAATCATCAGTTTGAATATTCTCATTCAACCTCCTTTTTGTCATGTGATTAAAAAAATACATAATTAATATTTCAGGGTTGCTAGGTGCGAGAGGGAGATCCAGAGTGAGTAATTATGAGCCAGACCCTGAGCCGACAGATCCTACGCTCAAGTTCTATAAATCTCGTACATACCGTAAGGTGGTGCCCACAATGGATGGTAGACGACCTATTTATGACTTTGATGCTTGGTATGTAAACACACTGAATGAATATTCTTATAACCACATTTTATCAAATGGTAACAGTATAAAAAGACTTTTTATTTTCAGGTCTAAAAACCATTATGGAGATTTATTTGAAAAATCAAAATATGATAAAGAGTTTATAAAAAAGAAGCAAGAAAAACAATTAGATTCTGAACAATCAAATAAACAAGAAATTTTTATGTTTGTGATGGTCGGTCTAGGAGGCCTGTTTTTATTTTTGGTAGGTCAAGGCCAGCCTGATTATGATAAGGATAGAATTTCACATAATAAAAATGATACACAGACAAATAATTAAATCGATCAACAGCTCTTTTGTCTTTGTAGACATTTCTTAGTAAATTTTTAGTTAGTTTTAATAGAAAATTAAGTACCTATTGTGAAATTTGCCCCTATACCCTTTGCCCCTCAAACATTGGCTGGGGGACTGGGATTTACAAGTGAAAGTTCTTTAAATCCCTGTATTTATACTATTCCTGGTCTCCTGGATGATAAGAATTTTACCATCAATGTTTGAAGGGTTAAAATACATTTCACATATTATATTTTTTCATGTCTTGTAAATACTGTACATAAATAATTTAACGACAATGACATTTAGTTGTTGTAGAAAAACAAAAGAACATTAAAAAATACTTCAGTTAAATGGTTTTTCTTTTAGAATAAACCAAAATTGACATGGGTTTTTTCTTTTTCATTTCTTGATTTTATTTTCTGATGAAAGATTGATGTAATGTAAATTGTAAATGTATTTTACTCATTGGTAATCATCGACCACACAGAGTAACGTACTATGTATTTTTTTTAGAGTGGGTGCGGCGGGACACACTCTTACTGACTAAAAACCGCCCCGTTCATTCTCCTGCACGTCGAGCCGGAACCCCGGTTACCCGTTAGGTTCTCCGCGACAACGTACTATGTATAACTCTAGTAACTAAATTGCCTCTGAGATGATGATGAACCACAGATTACTATATACTAATCAGAGAATGATGAACTGAGATGCATCATGCATTTAGTTCTAAAAGGAATATTTTTTTTTTAGTAATAGACAATAAGATTAGAAAAACTAGTGACTCTGTTTCTTTACTCCCAAGTCTATGGGATAGTGACCAGTATGTAATAAGTATAAGGGAAACAGGCAGGGTCGTTAACTAAGGGATGTATTATATACGCCGATGGATATTTGGCATAATTTTATAGAGTCACCCACGTAAAATATTAACCTGCGCAATCTTTAGGGTTGGCTGGCATCCCCTTGTAGGTAAGGTTGCCATAAAATGCAAAGGCCGGACATTTTGCCCTAAAAGCTGGACATGCTTTTTTATTGCCAAGCAATGTTTTTACAGTTGGGCTGTTGAAAAGAGTATTTAAATGTGATGTAAAGTGAGTATGACATCGAAGATGGGGTGTGTTCACTGATATGATAAGAGGGTGTGTTTATAAATCTATGGGTGTGCCAGATATATGCTTAATCGATATTTATTAAAAGATGGGCATAATATTTATTATAAAAAAAACTTCTTAACGAATTTGAAATGTTTATGATGAATCATCAGTCTTTTGTAGATTACTAAATATAATTAAAACTAAAAAACAAACGAGTATAGCTCTTTTTTGTCATTCTTAATACTAATAAAAAAATATAGTCGAATTGAGAACCTCCTCCTTTTTTCCGAAGTCGGTTGAAAACTAAAAAATATAATAAAACAAATAAAAATAACCATTCTTCTGGAAAGTAACAAAAAGATAATATTAATTTTACGACTAGGTATTCTTACCTAGCCGTAAAATTTAATTTACTTTATAGTATGTACCTAGGTATTTATAGAACAACGTACGTACATAATTTGGCCGGTCGCGACCGCAAAAAGCCAAACATGTCCGGCTAAATCCGCCATCCGGACATCTGGCAAGCCAACTTGTAGGGGATTTTTTTTTTTTTTTTAAGGGGGGAAAATCATCGAATGACTGCTCCCGCCTGGGTGAGGCGGAAGGGAGTGTCAGACTCTTACTGACTAAAAACCACCCCGTTCCTTCTCCTGCACGTCGAGCCGGAGCCCCGGTTACCCGTTAGGTTCTCCGCGACTCCGAATCGGCATCGACCCTATTGGGCCCCATCTGTGGTGGTCTGATGGCTCTTTGATCTTTGATCTTTGCTCGGGTCTGTTTCTGGTCGGACGGGGAGCCACCCATGCTCGCCGTCCGCAGGCCCGCGCTTACGGTGGCCGGAGATCGTCCCGCGATCCCCGACGCCCGGTGTGTCCTTCGCGATGGCTGGGTTGCGAGGAGGCAGCGCTTCGCTGCCTCACGCGTCCCGCCTCCTCCTTAGCTAGCATGACTGCTTCGCAAAAGGAGGAGACGGCATCCCAATCCCCCTCGCTCCGCATCATGGCCTGCACTAGGCCCGGATGCGAGAGGTCGCCATCGCCGATCACTTCCTTGAGGACACGGCGGTGCCCACGAAGGGCATTCTCCCACCGTGTGTTCCACCGTGTCCTCAGGGCGGTCCTCGCAGTGATGACACCCGGCCTTTTCCTCCCGCCCCATCAGACACAGGTACCTCCCGAAACTTCCATGTCCGGTGAGGACCTGCGTCAGGCGGTAGGTGAGGACGCCGTAGCGTCTCTCAAGCCACTCCTCAAAGAGGGGACTTACCGCTGCGATGGCAGCGAGCCCAAACTTGTAGGGGATGCCAGTCGCACCAGTGTGGGTAATATTTATTGTACACAGTCCACACAGCTCATGACGTCTTTGCCTATCCCTGACAGGTTTAGTTCTAATATGGTTCAATTAACGACTTTGCGTAGGGTCTTTTTATAAAAATTATAGTTAAATCTCAAACACCACCGTATTTAATGCCATAGAGAGCATAATTATCTTTATTAGATACTCTGTGGTCATCATTCATAGACAAAGGTTTTTGATCTTTGTCAATCCTTGTCTTTGTTTGTGTCTCACTGTCTCTTCTAGCTGTCTCTGTGTGTCAATTTTAGTGGAAATTGTGTGATAATATTTTTGCATTAGGATCTCTAATTAAAAATTTATTCATTATCCAACGATTTCCTAGTGATTTAGTTTGAACATTGATTTAAATTATAATAAAAATATTGTGTAATATACTTGAAGAATGGATTGCCTTGTGGGGTACGGTAGCGACGATGAGAATGAGTCTGAACGCTATGGAAGCCAACAACCATTGGTAAGTTTTGGCGTCCTTGACAAATATTTTTGCTTTGTAATCGCATATGTTTAACGATAAGACTATTTGTAATGTTTATTGATGCAACATTTATGAGAATCATGGATATTAACCTGCGTTCTCTGCTTGACAATAGAATGGTATTATAGGTGGGAGCGAGTGGCGCTGGTGCCCGCCGCAGGGACGACGACACCAACTACGATGACGTCAACATGGACATGAGCGAGGTAACTGTCGCCTATGTTCGTCCCCCAGCATAACAAATATGCTAGTTCAGTAGTGGCTCCAGTCAGCTACTCTTGATATCTTATCATCTGACCAGGGCCAAGTGTTCTTCACTTCTATAGTTTTTCTTATATGTAATGAGGCTTACCTATAGATAAATGATAACTAAGTAGTATATTTCTTCATTTATATTCAGGCTTAAGGCCGATATCCGTCACAGCATTAAAATAATCTTACTTTTCATTAGAGTAACTAAATAATATCATATAGTACACTTTATATAAATAGAGTTCAAGTAAAATAAATAAATAAAAAAGCAACTTTGCATTATGCTGTTTTCAACGATGATATTAACACTTTTATTATTTTATATGTTACCCATTTGTAAATTGACACAAAACAAAAGTCAAATACCCCTTGAGTACGTGCCGAGGCTACAAGATGACCGACCGAGTCCGTGCACACTGCAACCCTTTAACTTCAGGCTCACGTGAGTACATAGATGTAAGATAACCCAAACTCTCAGACGTCATTAATGAATCACATTCCAATATTAAGTCTCGTAGACGTGAATGAAATAAATCTTTAATATTGTCCACTGGATTTATTTTTATTGTAGACTTGTAAATTTTTTCTGTTAGATATTGCTTTTTTGTCTATATCAAATATCAATATAGTTTGACTGCACTGTACTATGTCTTAGCTAAGCACTCTGTGAAGTTTAGAGCCTATTCACCTGTACTCAATACTATAGAAGTATAGATGTATCAACCTTTTTGAGAATATATGCTCTATGTTTTACAGCCCCAAATTTACCGCACATACCTAGGGCACAGTACAGTGGTATTGGTCGAACTAAATAATATTTATTCCAACCACAAAAGTTATTCTGTTTTTTTTAATGTATTAATTGTCATCATCTTTATATTAGATTTTGACAAGATAACGAAAAGAGGTTTCATTTATGTGCATAATGACCTCCTATAATTTTGGTATTAGTGTGAGTTGTATAAATTAATATCTAAATAGTATCTCTTATTATTATTTTGCTGCTTGTTTTCAAGACTGGTTTCTTCTAATTAAAATTGAAGTTATGTTAAAATTCAGGAGTATTAAAGCTCCATGCATTTTGGGATTTAACAGGTTTTCGAAAACGTATTTAGGTTGATATGAGATATTATAACAAGGCAAAATTTAGTTTTAAGTAAGAAAAAACGATAATATTCTACAGGTCTATTTCATAAAATATGATTAAGTTACTGTTAACTTAATTAATTACATATTTCATGTGGAATATGTATCGGTTCAACTGACATAAACTTAGATCTTGTGAGACAAACCCTCAGTGCTTATATTTATGCAGGAATAGGTGTTTTTGGTGAATTATTACCTATTGTGGAAGACAACTTGTGTTGCCAACATTTATGACAAGACTGCATGGAGATGTGAATATCTCCATTTTAATGGTTCATCTGCAACACTACAATATCACCATCAACGATATAGTCTTATTACAAAGTGATTGGTTAAGTAAGATAATACAGATAGAAACTTAAGCTTTTGTGTCAAAATAATCGATATTATATTTTTCTTTGGATTATTTATTATATTTTACGATGGTAAGTTCAAAATTAATAAAATAATGATAAAAAGTAAATGTTTAGGGTGTGACTTAATGTTACACCTTAAAGACAACGACTGGAAATATAGGTACTTATTATTGGTACAAAAATAAGCACAAATGCCGATAAATTACGGGAGTTTTTTGAAATGTGTACTTGTACTTATCGCGCATAGGTGTTATTTATATCAGTGACAAAGGTATAAAATCACGATTACAATACGCCTGTTGAAATCGTAGTTTTATCAATAATAACTCTAACTAATGAGTAAACCCTATAGTATTCTCTCTTGCGTCGTGGTTGATAAAAACACAATTTCCCATACACACCTCACCCAGATCTGGAATAAATGGGTTTTATAAAGAACTAGCGACCCGCCCCGGCTTCGCACGGGTGCAATATATATATACATACAAACCTTCCTTAAGAATCACTCTATCTATTTAAAAAAACCGCATCAAAATCCGTTGCGTAGTTTTAAAGATCTAAGCATACATACGGACATACAGCGAAAGCGACTTTGTTTTATACTATGTATTGATATTTATTAATTATTGTCCTTTCATTATTTCCTTGTTTCAGACTTAAGAAGTCTATATTCGACTTTAATAACCTATTGTAATTTAATCAAATCTAAACTTAAAACTATAAATCTAATTGGAATTCTGAATTAGATTATAAAGTACATCCTGTTGTGAGAACAAGAGAAACATATTATAAAATACGAAAGCTAAAATAATTTTGTTTATGATTAACATCATCATCATAATAGCTGGTTTTAATAACAGAATCACATTTTGAATGACAAATACCGTGTTTGACACAAGTCTACGTATATACAGCGCGATATAATTTTATGTAAGTGTGTTGTATCTTGTCGCAGGATTCTCAGGACGAGTCGGAGCCGGAGTTGCCGCCTGCTGAGCCGACGCCACCTCCACAGTCATCACGCGAGGAAAGGTCTTCCAGTAAGTTCATAGTATAAAACGCTTCTGTCAACGGCTTCGCCCGCGTCCTAGAAATACGGTAACTGTAGAGCAGTGATTCCCAAAGTGGTCCAGGTGGACCCCCGGGGGTCCACGGAGCCTTGCTGGGGGTCTACGTAGGCGTGAATAAAATTTATTTGCTTTTGGTAGTAAAGAGCAAAAATGTGAGCATAGTTCCTATAACCTACATTGTTATAAGTACGTTGGTTGTCGAAAGGTGCATGCTTAACGAGATTTTACTCTGTTTTCGATTCCGTATTAGAATTCCTAGAAAGCAGATATCCAGATTTAAAAGAAAACTTGATAAAGAAAATTCAAACCAAACATTGCGTATTTGACTTTTCTCTTTTTTCGACTCCCCATACAAAATGACCAAAGTTACGTGACCGACTTCGTATAAAAGTTGAAACTTTCTATGCGAATTTTGAAAAGCCATACAACAAATTTTGTTCAAAATGGTTGGTAGAACACGCGGTTGAAGAGATGTACCTAAATGTTCACAAATACACGCTGTATAGGGAGTAATAGGGACAGAACTCATAAGCGACACAATTTTTATTCTTTGGCGACTTTAAGGATATGGTAGATATGTAGCAGCAGGGGGTCCACCGAAACCAGTAAAATTTTTAAAGTGGTCCATGAGAAAAATAATTTGTGCTATTCCAGATAATATATCTCCGTGTCCAAGAGTAACAAGTTTCGCGTGAAAGAGCAACAAGCTATACATGATTACACACATCAGAAACTTTCGCAATTATAATTGGATAACCCTGGGTATCGTGTGGGTTAAGCTGGGGGTTGATTTGAATAAAAGTACTTGGTCGTGGTTACCGAACACTTGTATTCCGAATTATTGTACAATAAAAATTACGATACAATAGCACGTGACAAATTGATACCAACATAAAATAAATTCTTTCGACACTTATACTATTGGCGGAGAATCTTAACACCGCGATTCAGAAAACGATCTCAAATAAAAATCACCATCTATGAACGAAGGTTGGAACACTTGTTCTCTGAATGCGGGTTTCTTACATGTCAATCGCTTGGCGGTTAGACAATAATATTAGTTGAATGATAATAACAATATTATCTCGTTGGTAGACTGATAGAAAGTGCGACTACCGAACGGGAAGTTTCGTATTCAAGATCAACACATATTATAATCATACTGTAACTGTACCACTACACACAGAAAAATAATGAGCATTTACCCAAGCTTGTTCAAAGCGGATTGGCGATATCAAACTTATAATTAGAAATTATAAACCGACAGCATACAATGAAGGATTAGAAAGACTCCCGAGCAATGAAACTATTACTAGATTACCTTAACGTAAAAAATTAACTTTAAAACCACAAAATTTAACAACAAAAAAATTTAATATAAATGCTACTTCAAACCATTTTCAAACCACTGAAGTACATATTTTATAACAGCGCGGTTGTAAAATTTATGATAGACAATAAAAATATTTATTACTTGACTACCGACAGAATAGGAAATAGTAAATATTTTGCACATAAAACTGAGTATCTAATTAGATTTGGTTTCTGAAATTTTTATTAAGAAATTGTTTTAACACTAATATTTTCTCATATGAATGAAGCTATGTAATGATACTTTCTTACACTTATTTTAAGAAGGGGTTTAAAGAAAAAAAAAGTGTCTTATATCAGTTCAGGATTGTGAAAAAGATCCGTACTGAAAAATTGGCTGTTTAATTCGAAGTCGAAGATATTACTAAACACAATAAAATTATAAAAAAACTTTTAAAAATGATTGCCTCATTGGCCGAGCGGTCGCAAGTGCGACTGCAAAGGCAAAGGGTCTGGGGTTCGGTTACCAGGTCGAGCAAAGTATTACTGGGACTTCTTAACTATACTGGAACTTCAAGGGTTTCTTCTAAGGAATAGACGTGATCACATCACTCTTTATTTAAATCTATTTTGAACTAGCTGCTTCTTCGCTGTGTGGATCCTATGGATCAAAGTGTGCTGTCTGTAGCCTTTCTCGATACATGGACTATCTATTATAAAAAGAATTGGGTAGTTGCCAGGGTATCAAAATTAACACGTATTCTTTTTTTTCTCGTATTAAGTTGCAATACTTAGATAAAATGGCGTTAAGTTTAGGAGTGGGAGGTTGTTACGTCATATCATAATGTGCTACAAAATGAGGCACGCTGTGACGTCACACGATATTTCAAATTAATAATAATATTATATCGTCTAAAGTATTTAATTTTGTGAGAAAAGAAAAATACGTGTCTAAAGTTTTAAATTAATGTACCAGACGGACATTACAATAAAATATAGGAAACTACCCTATTACTCAATTCGAACTAGACTTTTTTTAACTGCTCCCGCCCGGATGAGGCGGGAGGGAGTGTCAGACTCTTACTGACTAAAAACCACCCCGTGGCATGTTGAGCCGGAGCCCGGGTAACCCGTTAGGTTCTCCGCGACTTGAACTAGACTTTAGGAGATAAGCGCGTACAATTAAACAAATTCTTAGGTTTTTGATATTATTATAGTATAGATAGATATTAGATAAGACAGGTCCTTTGTAACAGTTCTAGGCAATCTGATTCTAGTCATTTCTTGAAATACCTGTGCAATCTATGAAATACCAATTTTATATTTATTACTCAAGTCTCGATTGAGGCTATGTGATAAGGAACGTAAACATTGCTTTCTATATGACTTATATGTATATTTCAGATTTCTACAAAACTGGGGATAATGTAAAGAACACAAAAATGATTATTCTAGAAAATCTATGAGACAATTGTAGTATGCATTTGCTTCCATAGGACACAATTTCAGAGGTTGTGCCGTTCTTTTGCCTCTATAATGAGATTCTTTGATTATGTCGTCCTGCATACAACCTTAACGTGTTCTTGTTAATTAGTAATATGAAATTATCGCTTTAGTCTCGTGAGGTTGCGCTTAACACTCATTCATTATAAAAATCTTTGTACATTTTTAATTATAAATTATATAGTTTGATTAAATATATCCATGTAATGTGGCATAAAGAAGCTAATAACATTGCAAAATAATATTATGTTATGGCTAATTAGTTAAATTCAATATTTTTTCCATCAACAGATGACAATCGTGATCGTGAACGCGAAAGGGAACGCGATCGCGACCGCGGTGACCGTGAGTTCGACCGCCGTGACAGACGTCGCGAGTCACCCGCGCGACCGCGCGACAGAGAACGCTCTGACAGACGTTCTCCGCGCAGAGATGATAAATACAGGTAAATATCATCAACAGCCTATAAGTACCCACTGCTGAATAAATATATCTTCTCATACGATGAAGGTTTGTGCATTAACTCGTCGAGTACCGGTTTTGCAGACACAATTATAGAACAATAGGTTGCGGTCACCGGTGACCGCTTGGTATTTGACAGTTTAATCACCATACTTGCTCAAAGTGAATTGGCGATTTTAAACTGATAATAATAGTCTGAAAGTAGTGTATAAACAATGTTCCTCCTATCACAGGTCAGATCGCGAGCGTGACCGCGGACGCCCGAACGACGGCATCCGTCGCGGTCTCCTGGGAGATCGCCCCGACGACCGCGAGAAAGTCCCTTCCCTGTTGGACGTGAAACCATATGGTTGTGAAATTCCACCACCGATGGACAGAAGATCTCATGATGCCAGAGATGCTGTGTCTCCCAGGTAAAGAATTTAAATGTTTAATGAGTAACTACCATACGCGAGGGTCATTTCATATTACTTAACCAAGTTCAATATCAATCAATTGATATTCGAACAAAATCTAAGGAAATGTTTAAGTAATCATTAATTGTTTGGGTATGGCAGTTAAAGTTAAAATATTTCTATTTGTCAGTGTAGAGGCACTTTTGAAATATCAGATAGAATCTCAGTCAAGTCTGGTACTAACTACACTAGCAGCTCAATCAAAAGAAAAAAAAACAATGAAAATCTCCATCTTCATCATTTAATTTTAACAACCATATTGTTATTATTACAAGTTTCATTGCCATTATATTGTTTATATTTTATAGTTAAGTTATAAAAGTGATTTGCTTCTTTCTTCCTATTATATTTGGGACGTATTTTATTGTTTTAGATTCATAGACCGCGAACGCCGCGATAAAGAAAGGGACAGGGAACGCGAGCGTGACAGAGACCGCCACAGCAGGCGTTCAGAGGAAAGACGGTAAGATGCCATACTGTTACTATGTTTCTAAATGTTAAATTATTGCTCGTTTTCACCAAACAAATTAATTTTTTTCTGCTTAGTAATCATGACATCATGATTTTATGTAAAATTGCATATTTATTATAAAGATAAAAGACTATCAAAGTCTTACTGATAAAACCAACCTGTGTAATATCTTGTACATATATTCAATATGATGCATGAATAACTGGTTTCTGCATGAATAACTGGTTGGTTAAACAGTGTGTTGTTCTAGACTATAGTCTATCTCTGTACCTCATCCAAATGCACCCAGTAGCTTTGTCGTGAAAGAGTACCAAACAGATCCTCGCAACCTTTTATAATACTAATAGGAGTTAATTTATTTATGTTATGATGTAGGTCTTCAAGCCACAGACACGAGCGTCGTGACCGTTCCCGCTCGTCGTCCCGCGGTGCTCAGTACGGTCCTGGCCACAGCTCGGACCGACGATCCTCCCCTCCTGGAGGAGACTACAGACCCTCCTCTTACAAAGTCAACAGAAAACTTGAAGTGATGGAAAAGATGGGTTAGTATTCAAAGTCACAGGTACACATCCTGCCAAAGTCTATACCATGTTGAAAGCGCCGGTTCTCGTCTGATGACCAATGCTAAGCATACAGCGTAAACGTACATCGGGCGCGGTTAGTACTTGGATGGTGGTCCACCTGGGAATATAGCGTGACGTTAGCTTTTACAGAGCCGCGGATGGCCCAGCGGTTTGCCGGGGCTCCGGCTCGAAGAGCAGAAGTAGGAATGGGGTGGTTATTAGTCAGTAAGAGTCTGACATTCCCACTCGCCGAACCCAAGGCGGGGGAAGTCATTGTATGATTTTTGCCCCTGAAAAAAAGCTATTTATAACAAATATAAACTGACGGCTAAATGTAAGAGAGGCTAAACTGGTTTTGTTTAGTTTGAGTTGTAGCCGTGTGTACAAAAGCCTGCAAGTCAAGCTACTCCAAATTATTTATAAATATTTTCAACTTTATTAAAAAACTATAAAGTTGGATATCTATTGAAAGACTAGCTACTTCCGCGTGGTTTCAGACGCTCTGCTCAGCTCCTATTGGTTGTAGCGTGATGTTTTATAGCCTATAGCCAACCTCGATAAATGCGCTATCCAACACAAAAAGAATTATTCAAATCAGACTTGTAGTTACGGAGATTAGCGCGTTCAAAAAAAAAACTCTTCCGCTTTATATAATAGTATAAGATTGGAGTAAATTTATTGAAAAACAGATTTTCATTGCATTTCTTCATTATTATTGTTTATTGTAAGATATACTTAAATGTAAGTTTTATTATGTTTTTCTATTATAAATTTTATATCGCAATATAAAAACTGTAAACTTGGGTGTGTTGTATAATGTTTATTCTGAACTTTTAGAATATCATAATGATTTTATCTCACAAGTCACTGTTTTATCACAAAGGTTTACAAATCAAGACGCCGGACGGTTCGATGGCGACTGCACAGCAACTGCGCGCGGCGGCCAGCGAGGTCCCGACCCAAGGGTCCCACCTTCCTTCATACTACAACCCTACTGCTGTCAATGCTAATAAAATTATGGATCAGGTATGTAACCCTTTTATACTTATCATTTTTAAGTCTTCCATGCTTGAAGGCACATAAAAGAAGCTGTCTGGATTTATTTTCCATTTAACTCTGAAAATGCTGAGAAAATTCAGGTAAGTACAAACAGAAATTAATGAATCACAGTTACGAAATTGTATGGCAGCTACTTTCATGTTGAAACATTGAAAGCATTTATGACCTTTAAACTAAAATCTCAATTGTGTAACAGGTACAAAAGCGCAAGTTGTTGTGGTCAAACAAAAATAAATCGGAGGCTGAAGAGGCTGCCAAGTGGAGTGGCACTCGGTTCGCACAGGACTCGGACGGGAAACAGGTGTCCAAGTTCATGAGACTCATGGGCATCAAGGAACCAGGTAAATATGCGAGTTATAAGATTTTTTTTGCGTTTGATTACGCACATATTTCATGCACACTGAAATTACTCAGGCAGATTTATTATAATAACATTTTTCAGTGTGGTACAAAGATGACACTGGACTAGTATCATTGAAAGTGAAACAAATGTTCAATATGTGCTACAGACAATTATAATAACAGTTTATAATTCACTAGCGACCCGCCTGGCTTCGCACGAGTGCAATACACGTGTATTATACATATAAACCTTCCTTAAGAATCACTATCTATTAAAAACAACTGCATCAAAATCCGACGCATTGTTTTAAAGATCTAAGCATACATAGGGACAGACAGACGGCGGATAGCGACTTTGTTTTATACTATGTAGTGACACTAATTATAAATTTTCTTTACACAGCCGCCGTTAAAAACGAGGCTCCAGAAAAAGCAGTGGATCCAATCAAAAAGCAGGAAGAACTGTTCCAAGCGATGCAAGCTCAATACGAAGTGGCCAGGGCTACCACACACACCATGCGGGGCGTGGGACTCGGGTTCCAACGAGGACAGTACTAGCGCCAGTGGGGGCCTAGCGGCGGCTACATGGCGAACAGATAGCGATAGTCCATGTCTACTGAGACATATTGGTAAACTTTCCCTCAAGATAGCCTGGGACATAATTCCCAATTGGTTTACGTCTCCCAAAAGAGGTGGACAGTGTACTTGCCTATAGTACACCCATAATTCAAGCACCTTACTGGTGTTCTACAAAGAAATTGTTGATTAGATGTCAAGATATAAGTAAATGTAACATGTGTGTGCTTGCAAGGCTAACGCGCGAATACTGAAATGCTACTTCATTTTAAGTGGTACTTAAATATCGTGCTATCTCTGTTTTATAAAGTACTTGTAGCAACAGAAATACTTTCAAGAGTTTTCGTAAAATTAAGTCGCGTTTGAGTATTTGAAGATACGTCACCTCGTCAGTCTGACACACTGATTGTGTGAAAACAATAATTTTATACAGCTTTCTTTCACATTTCTAGTGTAAGATACTGTGTAATTTCTTATTGTTCTATTTTACTTTGTGTGCATTGTGTTTCAGGCATTTCTTTGTGTACAAATTATTTCCAATGTAAATACTATCTGTTATATGTACTAACTATGGTTGTAGAAATATTCAATCATTTGTTGATCTATTGGTCTTATGAATTTAAAGTTATGGTATTTTCATACTAAAGTATGATGATGGAAAGGGGAATCGGAAATGAGGATTTATGGGATAGTGTTGTCTTTCAAAACATTAGATATTCACTATGTAGAGATTAGAATGAACAGCATGTAGAGAGTATTCCAGTTCACACTGGTTTGGTACAACTGGAGTTGTATTTTGGAAGGACATCATTTAAGATCACACTTTAATAGCTTTAATAAAACACAAGGAAATGTAAATTATATCCATAAAGATACAAAAATGTCCATAAAATTAGTGAAAATATTAAGATGTTACTAATCATTGGAAATTAGATTTAAAAATTGTAAATAGCCATGACATGGTATTGTGAGTAAGCTGTCTCCAATATAATACTCACGACGAGTATAACGCGGCGAGATGATTTATATTTTTAAAATATATTTAGATACAAATGCGTCACGCGAATCGCGTGGGTTGATTCAGCGGAGAGATTCGCATATATATGTGTATAATGTGGAGTTTTATATAGCTGTTCCTGAAACTTTAGGAAAAACGAATGAAGTAAATGTAAATAACTATTTTCCAGTTATAACTTGCTTACAAACGTTTAAAATAGCTATAGTAACTCGGTTTAAGTTAAGTTCTAGTTTAACTGCTACGTGTGATATAATGTTATTCAATTAACTAGTTATAACGAAGGTAATAAGCAATGTATGGGTAACTTTTATCCATTGAGATCTTCCTCCATGTTCCTAAGTTTATTGAAATAGTAATAGCTTGCATTAAGTAGTTTAGTGGTCTTTTTAGTAATTATCCGTACACTGTTTATTATTTTTGTTGTTGTTTAAGTAAATAAAATATTACGAGAAAATGGTGTTTTTATTCAACGTTTTTGTATGATATCTCTATCTGTGTTTGTTTTGTTCTATTGCTAACTTCATGTTGTTGGTTACAAAGATTTATGACACGCCATGTAAGGGTCGTATTAGACTGAACTGGCGCGAAGCGTTTAGTCAACGGGTTTCAATAAAAAAAGATCAGAAGTGAGAATAACTAAATAAATGGCAGGTGAAGATTTTTATTAGTTTTTTTTTTCAATACTTCTGAACGGTTTCACTTGTTGCTCAGCTCCTAATGATCACACTGTTATTTTTAATAACCTACAGCTTTCCTCAATAAAGTGACTATCCAACAAAAAAATAATTTAATATACATACAATTTATTAGATTCTATAGTTTCTGAGATTAGCACATTCAAACAAACTAGTTTTTATTAGTATAGGTCACATTACTTATAGTTTGAACCTATAATATTTCATAATATTACATATTTTTCACAAAGTCGATACAAAAAGCCGACGGCGGGTGGTCAGCGCGCGGTCCTCTCGAGTTGTAGTTGAGGCGCCGCTGCCGCTCTTATTGCACGCCGCTAGCGAGCCGCCCACCAGTCGCTAGCGAAACAACTCCACATCGTACGTACGTATTCTTGACTATATTCGTTGTGACAAAAAGCTTCAACCTCGCAGCGGGCGAGGCAGTGGTGCGCTTCCACCTCGCGACCAGCGCGCTTACAACTCGCAGGCGAAGCGCGCTGGCGGCTAACTGTAGGCAAACTCGAAACAATGCCGCGCCGCTTATTAGATGTGCGATTATCTCGAGTGATATTATCTAGTTCGTGTGGGAGAGTCTTTATAGGTAATTCATCGATATATGTGATAGGGCATCACTAGCAAACATTTTATTTATCATCTGTTGCTGTCAGTCGTCCAGTCTGTCATGAACGCGAGTGAAGTTGGTTGCGTTAATATTATCTTATTAGTCTGTGGTTATGGGATTCACCGCAAAGTGTTCACGAAAAATGTTTTTATTTCAAATCAGTAGATAAAGCCAAATTATAAATTACCGAACATTCAACAGTTGATATCCAGCTACCGCCGCAAAAGTGCGAAATAATAATTAAAACGGTACAAACTGTGAATTAGGTTACATTGCAATTGAATCAGTGCGTATGTAAAGCGAAATAATTATAAATTTAAAGATGAATCCTGATCCAGAAGGCGAGACCAAACTGTGTGAGAATTGGTAAGTCTTATTGTGTAAATGCGTGTTATGTTGTCAATATTAGTTCTATTTTAGAGTACACACGTTAGCCGGCTATTTTTAGATTATTTGGAGCATTGCGAACATCGCAGCTGTCCCGAGTTGCTTGTTGTTTACCTTACATCCAAATTATTGTTATGAAAAACTTCCTAACACTCGATGTTTATTTGTTTTCTCCAAGGAGGTTGTATACTTTTAATTTAGAGTAAAAGCTGATTAATTATTTAGTCTGTTGTATTTTAATGGTATTACTTTTAATGTTAAGGGTCGTTGCTCTTTTGTGACCTATTTTGACCTAGGCGACCTATATTACAGGGCTACAAAATCAATTTATGCACTCGGCGGGGATGAATTCCGGGAACTGACTGGGCCTCGGAGCTCTGCGATCGTTTTATAGAACTCCGTAGTACATATAGGTATCAAAGTACCTAATATAAAGCCTTATTTCGTAAAGGCTGTTTGTTATTGAACATTTTATTGTTTGCCACTGCTTAGCACTAGCACTTAGTTCTATCTTGCATATTTAAATATATAGTAATAGGTACTCATTCAAGTAGTTACTCATTATGAATTAAAATACACACCTACCTACTTACATACATATCGTATAAAAATATGAGATGCACAATGCACACAGCTCATTTAAATAATATCTAGATACCTGTCTAAGCTTTAAGTGTCAACTAAATGGTTAGGTATAATAGAAATACGTAATATACCTAGGCAGGTAAGTACATATTTCCGCTTTTAAATTGCGTTAGAACTAGCACTTATTTCATTTGAATTCACACACGTAATTTTTTACCGTCGTACTTGTTTCCATCATGATTGGAGTCGGTACTCGGTACTACATAGGCCACAGCCATCGCATTATAATTTTATTTTATACAAGAATAATCTGGTACTAATACTTACCTAATTAAACTTATCTAGATAGTTGTAAATGCGACATGAAATTCGCGACGAATTAGATGTAAGGTAGGTACTGGCGCAGATCAATCTACTCTAATTTGTAATTTGTTTTCTTAGATTTTCGACTCTGTACTGTGGAGATAAAGTTAAAAATGTGTTTCAAAGAGTGGTATAGGTTGATGTACTGGCATGTAAACGAATCAGTTTTTTGCTGCGTCATCGTACTTTAGTGTTTATTTTATAAGTAAGTACCTACAGCTCAATAAGACGCGGACGTCAGTTCCGTCCAAAAATTATTTAGAGGTCTGATATACCTATTCATACTTGCTTATAAAAATAATAATCTGTATTATAATTTTATAACGTCATTGCAATTGTATTTACTTATCTTGAAAAGTCTTATTATCCTTGATTGCACTGTTCGATAGGTATGAGCTGGCTGTATAAATCGCGATTTGCAATTTCTAGGTCTCCATTTGTTTTCATTGATTAGATTGCAACAATTGCAGCATTAATTAGTTTTTAAGACTTCGCATGCTATGTTGGCCGGGTAGTTACTACCGGGATTTTTTGATGTGTTGTTTTTTCCCGCCCTAGGTGAGGCGAAAGAGAACGTCAGACTCGCACTGATAAATTTCACCCCGTTCCAAGTCCTGTTTCGAGCCAGAACCGCGGTCACCCACAAGGTTCACAGCCTTGGTGCCGATTTTCAGTGGCAAAGTAGAATGAAAGTAGTACATTGTATAACATACTTTTTTCAAAAAGAGTAACGTATGGAGTTTCTTGCTCGTTCTTCTCCATTCGAATCTACATTTTGGAATGAGCACCTAGCTTCACCTAATTTCACTGACGGACTGACTGACAGACTATTATTTATTTTGTACCTATTTGTTGACGTTTCAAAAGTACCAAACTATAGTTTAATTGAAATAAATGCTTTGACTTTGACTTTGACTTTGAAAGGATTAATAAATAAATAAAAATAATTAAACATCTAGAGACACATTTATTTCGATATGAGGTCAAAAGTCTAGGTACGAAAATTAGCAAATCATCTACAGTTGGGTTAAAGTTACATCTTAGCTCTCAGTGTTCGTAACTTCAATATAAAAATGATTCTATAGATTGCTTACTGGTACTTACTCCACCATTTCTTCAAGACGAAAGGTCAAAGATTATACGCAGGGCGTAGCTAGCGTCGTATCGGCCGTATGCCCCCGGTCTTCAGAGGCCACCAAGGTGCGTAAGCAAAAATTAATAAGAACTTCCCAATATTTATTTTATTTCAGTAATAATCACAAAGGTCAAGATAAACGATTTTTCTCGCGTAAAGCATGCAATCAAACGTTGGTAAGACACTTAGGTAAGCAAAACTAAGTCTGGAAAGTTTTCTGGTTTACAAATTATTAGAATTTAAGAATTTTAAAATAAAAAAGTAATTAATAATGAAATATGAAAAAAATCTCTTTTGACAATTGTTTCCCTTCAAAGGCCCCTAAATTTTTTTTTACACGGGGCCCGCCAAAGCACGCTGCACCACTGATCATACATACGGCAGTATACATAATAATGCATTTCGCTGTAGCTATCATCAGCGTGTCGTCAGCTCAGTAAACTACGCTGACACCGTTAGCGGGGAGGTCGGTGCAGCACCAGTCGTAGAGTCTTTGCCAGTGTGTATTTCCTGAAGGGTATATAACCTGGGAGTCTTCAAGGCCCGAGTGATTAGGTTGCTTATTGGACGACGTGCTCCATCGTAGACCGCATCATCGCTTACTACCAGCCATCACGCAAGATAGTGGTCAATCGTCGGTCCACTAAATATTAAAAAAAGTCTTTGCAGCACCAGTCGTTGCCGATGTTCCACAGGAGCGGTCCCAGTACCGATCCATGTGGAACATCGCGCGACATCTCTCGCCGGTTAACTTTTCTAGGGCTGTTGACCTATTTACGTAACCTGCGAAGGTTTGACCTTATCATAAAGATCAATATCTTTTTATTTCGATACAGATATTACTCCGATTTTTCTAGAGTACGTCGAGGGCTGTTACCTAGGCAACCGTCAAGGAAAGTGGATATTGTAAATAGAAATATGTACTTACAGACGCAGCACATCATACTATACTCTCTTTTTAATATAATCTCGACTTTATCGTTAATGTATAAAGTTGAAAATGTGGGTGTACAGGCACGTGTATTCCATTGTAACTCGTAATTTTGCTAAACGTTACTAGGAAATAAATTTACTCCCGTTCTAATAGAATACAATTTATCAAATTTCTCATTATTTTCGTCTTGTTATAAGCTGCTTAAGAGCTTACCTATTTATCGTTGTAATATTTTTTTGAAGAAAAATAAATATTTTAAACCTTTGTTTATTGTTAATTTGTGAATGCTTAAAACACTTTTTTTTGAGCGAGTAAAATCATCCATTGACTTCTCTCGCCTGGGTGAGGCGAGGAGTGTCAGACTCTTACTGATTAAAAACCGCTTCGTTCCTACTCCTGCACTTCGAGCCGGAGCCCCATCAACCCGCAGTCCTCCGCGGCTCCGTTTCGTCATCAGCCCTATTGGGTCACATCTGTGGTGGTCTGATGGCTCTTTGCGGTGCACGCAGAACGCGTCATGCCGTACGCTCGCCTCTGGTTCTGATCGGGTGGCGAGCAACCCTCGCTCGCCGTTCACAGGTCCGTGCTTACGATGGCCGAAGATCGCACTTTCCAACGCTCGGAGTGTCTCCCGCGACGGCTGGGGCGTAAGGATATTCGTTCCCTCACGCGCCTCGCCTATTCCTTGGCTAGCATGACTGCTTCTCAAAAGGAGGAGACGGCGATCCCAATCCCCCTCGCTCCGTACCATGGGCTGAAGCAGAGCCGGACGCGAGAGGTCGCCGTTGCCGATCACATGCTCAACCCACGCAGAGAAAACATATTCAGTATGGCATTATTATAATGGTCGTAAGGAGAGCCGGATTAAACCCAAAGAGTGCACTAGGCAAGCACCTTATTGGCGCCGCCGTCACTCTATAAGCAGTTGGGCACGATCATCTCGCGGCGCCCCCCTGTAACCTGCCACCCTAGGGCTAGGCACAAGAATATGCCTAGTTTACCTCAGGGATCATACGACTCTGGTCGTAAATAAGTTCATACAGCAGTAATTATATCATGACATTGTCAAACTGAGAGCGAATTATTTTCTTGTTTATCTCAACGTATTGTGTTTAAGCAAGCCATGCCCAACACAACTAAAGAAATGTCTTTAGTTGTTGTGTTGTACTTAAGTTCATTAATTATGTAGGTAATATATAAAAGAGAAATCTGCGTTTCTTTCGGTGTTTGTTATAGAGCAGTCCGATAGGCTATGCCTGACACAATTTACTAGGTTTATTAACAAATATAGACTTGTACAAGTGTCATTTTGTAGCCTTTTTATTACTTACCGAAATAATTATAAATATCAATTAATTTCATATTTAATTTTGTAACAAGATTAGTTATTGTAACTTTAAAATACATTTTTGTAACTAGATCTCGTAAGTGTGGGGTGTATTGTAAATATTTGTACACCAGTAGCTAGAAGTTATAAGTAGATACCTAATTTAATAAGTAGTTAGTTACGTAGATAATTTTAACCTGTTTCAGTAAGCGCGAGATCCCGACGGTTAACTTCACGATCCACAGCGTGCACTGCGCTCGCAACATTCGAGTATGTCCCGTCTGCAAGGAGGCTGTGCTCTATGCTGAACTCAAGGAACATCATGAGAAGATGCATAAACTACGTAAGTAAAGGTCTACAGACGCCGCCGCGCATTACTCCCTCCATTCGTCCCTATATGACTTGCACTATTGAATCGTGAAAATTGAATTGATCGTCAGCGCCTCTCTGTCAGTTAAGCTATATAGGTGATACTTTTTTACACAAAAATTGCATTGTAAACGAACAATAAATATCTTTATGCAATTTATTAAGAATAACCATATTATATACATACATATAAACATACATATGAGTCCCAGGTCTTACCTTTGTTGCGTATTTATTCACCATAGCAGTGTCTGTGGTGACGAGTAAACGCCTACTCTTACTTGATCAGGTTTCATAATTCCAGACAAAAAGAGGTTATTTATAGTTTAGTAAGAAACGCTGAAGCTTAGAAGACTTCACTTTAAAATAACTTCGCTATGACGTCAAATACATCGACGTTGAGCTTTATTTAACAAAGTATTAAACGCAATTTTAAGTACGATTTTTTTATTGAGGCTGCGGCTCGAAGGATTTGGATTGGGGTGGTTTTTAGTCAGTAAGACACCGACAAACACTGTCGCCTTACAAAAAATGCCTGTTTGTCAATAGAGCCGTGCAAGAAATGCGGCGAGAGTGTCTGCGGCACCGACCTAGAGGATCACATCCGCGACTCCTGCGCGCATACCATCAAAACATGCAGGTAACTATACCGTTAATTAAATAGTGCACTACTGGACCGCGCACTACTGAAAATGACAGTTTGAAACTTTCACGTTTATATGAGATCTCTGCTCTTACGACGTCCGCGGGAAGAGTACAAATAATGTATCATAGTCGGCCATCACCACGCCGTTTTATTCTATTCGTGAAATTAATAATTAATATTCCACCTTTACTCGTAGGTTCTGTGAGCTGGAGCTACCTCGCCGCGACCTACCGGCTCACGAGAGCTATTGTGGAGTGCGCACGGAGCAGTGCCCTGACTGCAAGGAATGGGTCATGATCAAATACCGGCAGCTGCATTTAGACTCCAATCATGGATTCATTCGACTGGACGATGGTAAGACCCTAAAGACTATACATACAAAGTAATCATCGGCACCGTTATCGTGAATGCTTAAGATTCTATCAGCCTTCCAGGCTTCCAAATATCTCCACCCGTCTAATAATTTAGCAGAATCTCTCGTTTTAAATTAAAAATGTTATAAAACAGGCATAGGGAATATTGGATTTTGTATGATCTCTCATTGTAGACTAAGACACATTCAAACAAGTATTTCATCTTTGTGTAGATCCCTCTCCAGTGTCACCAAAGAAGGAGTTACCAAAGAGTCCCGCTAGGCCGGCAGTCCCAAAGCTGACGCGAGCTAACATTGCGACCGCCGCCGCGCCGTCTACCAGCAACGGCTGCGCTCGTCCGTTCACCGGCGGCTATAGACCCAACGGTTTGAAGAACATTAACTTGACTCGAACTGAGACCAGGTATGTTCCTAATGTCGCTAGAAAATAGGTGCCCCCCCACCCGTCCGTCGTGACAGGTAAATAAGTACTAGGCTATGGATTAGTATGTTTGGTCCATCTTTATTAGACAATTTTCCATGATATTGACGCTTATCAAGAATGAAGTAAATCAAAGACAAAATGTTTAAGTACAATGGAAATACATTTTCAAAGGTCCAGCTCAGCGCTTACGATGCCCAGGGAAAGAGTAGAGGAGGTGACAAACGAATTCTATTATACCGTACTTTTGGTCATCAGATGGCACTAGCGGAACCTCTGGTTCTTCGTCCAATAGGGAATTAGCTAGTGTCACACAATTGGACGTTCAATATTTGACAGCTGCAGTGATTGGACAAAAAAGCCCTCCCCTACATTTGCGCCATCTACTGAGCAAACAAATGATAGCCCCCATTGTCTTCCTCGTCTGTTCTTATTATCTCCAAAGGCTCATCAGCAGCTGTTGCCAAATGTCATTTAGCGCTTGTTTACATGTAGAATAGAAAACCAAAATAAATGGAATTGACGTAAATTTTGACACTTCCTAGTGTCATCCCCATACATTTAGTTTTCTACTCTCTCTGTAGACAAGCACTGAAGTGGCGTTTGGCTAAAGACACAGTTTTCTTTTATTTCCCAGACAATTCAGCACTAACGGTACACGTCCAGGTCCATTACCAGTTGCTGGCGAAAAAGAGTTCTGTGGTACATCCTCCGAGAGCAATTGGGCCAAGAGGACCAATGATAAACCACAGATCAACACTAATATGGAAGCAACGAATAAAGTTGATAAAGACCTGTGAGTACAATTTTGTTTACTACTAGTTTTTTTTATAGCATAATCCTGTAAATGAGCAGACGGAACACCTGATGGTAAGCAATCGGCACCGCCCATAGACACTCGAAACACCAAGGCGTTACAAGTGCGTTACCTGCCTTTTGGGAATTGGAAATTTGAGGATTGTGGAGTATTCGGGGATTCGTCGCTTTTCTGTGAGGCCGTGGTATCACTCCGGTCGAGCCGGCCCATTCGTGCCGAAGCTTGGCTCTCCCACACTTGATGAAGTTTTAAGCTTGCATTATAGACAGATACTCAAACGGAGATCTCTGCTTAAAATTGTGCTGGTTATATTAGTCCCCGAAGACAAAAGTATGATTTTTAACATGTCGATAAAAGTATTGAATTTGTATTATACCTCTATCTATCTATTATCTATATATATATATCTATTCTACCATCGTGTTTTAATTATCCTCGCATTAGGTACTCCAATCCACGACTAACAAGTTCAATGAAACACATTAAAATCTTGACAATGCAAATATTCGCGGTAGTGTGGCCCCAGCATTATGACTAGCTGTTGGAAATGCATTTATCTGCTTTGAGGTCTGGGGAAAAACAGAAATGATGATTGTATCTGAATATATATTTAGGTTATCTGCATTTATATCTTTGTGTCTACACATGGTCATAATCACAGAACATATAAAGAAGGTCACAATCATCAAGATAGATAATGTGCTTCGAAGTATTACTTGTCTGTCTGTTATTTCAATAATGCGTCTTTGGTGTGTATTAAAAAAATAATCCGTTGGCTAAGATGTGATTACAGAATCCGGCACAGAACCTTATCATCAGAATTTTTTATTTAAAAATGTCCAGTGGGCATGAAAAAATGCCCCACCCACTCCTTGATTGTGCCAACATTTTCGGGGAGTACTCCTCTCCGGAAGCGATAACGCAATCAAATAGTTTCTTACATAGTTCGTAACGCAGTTGTGATACCTTTGGTATTGCAAGTTTACTAAGACTACACTTGCTACCGCGGGCCGTGAGCTTTGTCGCTACCGATATAATAGTAATAAAAAAAAGGTAAAAAGAAGATAAACTCGTAGAAAAATATGTTGGCATTAGTGTCATCATCTCTGCAGGGGTGTATCTCGCGGCGCTGTGAAGAAGCGTCTGGCGCCGAAGCCGCCGTGTCGGCGCGCGCCGGCCGAGCTGCCGCCGTCCGCCATCCGCGACCTCCCCTACTACAGCGCCATGCAGCGCCAGCAGGACGAAGAGAGAGAGCGCCAGGAACAAACGGCCTACAACTTGAGTGTCGGTAAGTTATATGTCACAGAGACTAGCCATCAGCGCTTTCTGACAAACCTATACCTGTTTGGAGTTTGGAGATCATGACAAACTCTCTTCTATTGTACTCCTGGCCTATAGTCCAGCAATGGCGTATTCACTTGAATACTATCAATAAGCAACTGTTTGCCAGAATAAAAACTTACTTTGTACTTACCCATCACAGGTCTTCCCCCAGTCTTAAGTCCGGCAGCAAAACTGGAGAAATTACGTAAGATGGACGCTCTCCAAAACCCAGAGGAACATATGGAAAGGAACCGTCAAGGTCGAATAGTGAGGAATTCGGCAAACGACGGTGTATCTCAAGCAAGCTCAGGACTGAGCGAGGAACCTTCGAGAAGGCGGACCGACTTCACGAACCTAACTCCCATGAGTCCCCAGGAGTTTGTAGAGAGATTCAGTAAAATGCAACTGAGGAAGGACGAGGAGATGCGACGGAACAGCGCCGTGGGAGACGCCAGGAAGAACGGGGATAGGTTCAGTGAGATCAAGTCGTCTTTGAGGGAGCTCCGCAGGGGATTAAATGAGGTTGGTGTTGCCGTTATAATAGTATTTATTTATAATTAAAAAAAATGTATGTTTTGGAAGAGTATACGGTTCTTATGCTGTATGTACGTGTTCCAGGTGACCGCTCCATACCATTCGAATCCGAACATCAGTGCCAACGCGAACAACAACAACAATAACAATGGGTGAGTTTATATTTCTACATTCCACAATGAAAAAAAATATATAAGTACTAATCTACCTATGTATGTAAAAGCACTAAAACGTAGTGTTTTTTCTTTAGTGTTTAGATTTTATAACCAAAAGCTTTCTTGACTAAACTATGTACTTAAGAAGCCGAAGCTTCGGTCAGACATTATTTATTACGTTTGTCCCGAATCGAGCAAAGTATTACTGGGTTTTTCTCAGTAGTAGTAGAGTCTAGAATTGCGCCCGGTATATGGCAATAGGATCACCCCCTATTACATGGGACTCATAACATAAATAGTGAAAAGTGGGTGTTACATTGTACAGTGGCATTAAGTGCCGTAATGTGCACATTTGCCTACCCCTTCTGGGATAAAAGACGTAATGTTATGTGATGTATATTTGTTTGTGCCGGTGTACAGCGAGGGCCGCGCGTCCCCGGCGGGCGACGACGTGCGCCTGCCGTGCGAGTTCTGCGCCTGCCCCATACCCGCGCACAACTTGGTGCAGCACCAGGTAACGATCGCTATTACACTTATTATAAACCAACTTTTTCTCGTAGTCCTTCTCCCTACTCCCAACTATAATGTAAGTATGCAAAATTGAATAAAGATTGTTTTTTTATGCTATAAGCCGGCATTGTCGTGGTGGCCCGGAGGTTTAAGACGCCCACTTCTCATGCATGAGGGTGCGGGTTCGAAACCTACCAACGGCAAGTACCAATGTGACTTTTTCCGAGTTATATGTACTTTCTAATATTATTTAGACACCACTGACAAACGGTGAAGGAAAAACATCGTGAGGAAACCTGAACTTATAATTTCTAATTATAAGTTTAAAATCGCCAACCCGCATTGAGCAAGCGTGGTGATTAATGCTCTAACCTTCTCCGTGTGAGAAGAGGCTTTGCTCAGCAGTGGGCATTTATAGGCTGTTGATGATGATGAAGCCGGTAAACGACCAGACGGTCAGCAATTTGGCGTCGCCCATGGACACCTGGAACACCAGGGGCGTTACATGTGCGTTACCGGCCTTTTGGGGATTATGAATTTGAGGATTCTTTGGATTCAGGGATTGGGGGGATTGCAGATATTTTGGAAGAAGGGTCATTGGGTTTTCCTGTAACCTCACTTACGTTGTTTCACGTTGGTATCGGTTCGAATCGGCAAATGGCTCTCCCACACTTAAAAAGAGGTTGAGTAGAAAAAACATAAAATGTAACAAACAAATAATAACAGCTTACACATAGGACCCGTTTAGTACTTGGCGACTGGGCTTCTCCCAGTCGTAAAGTCTCTTTTGTGCCTTTCTTTGTCCTGCGTCAATTCACCGAGGGAAGTAGAAAGAGTAGAATCTAACATTTTTTTCTCATCTATTAATATCTTTTTTGTTATTCATGTCCCTGAGCCGCGCAGAACTTCAGTGTTGTTTTCATGGTTGTATCTATTGTAAATCCTGGCTTACAGGAGTTGCTGTTGTTTTGGGAGGTTGTGGCGGGCTTGTCCCATAAAAAAAAACAAATAATTAGTCATGTCTCATCTCCCGTTTTGTAGACTGGCTGCCGGCCTGACCTGGCACAGTTGCGGCCTCGCAGTCCTTCCCCAGTAGGGGCGGTGGCTCTGGAACCTTCACAGGAGCCCTACGAAGAACCCGTCATCCCCTGCGAATTCTGCTATGAGTCTTTGCCCGTCTACCTCATCAGTGAACATCAGGTAACCTAAACATGTTCAGAAAAGTTAATTATATCCAATAAAATCAGGCTCTTGTAACATAGTAGGCAAACGCTGCAGAGTTTCAGTATAAGCTTCCATTATATTCGTGCATGAGGATATAAAAGTTAAAATTAGCAGTAGCCTAGATAGATTCTGTAGTGCGATTCTGTACCTAATACATTAATTCGATATCACAGCTCGCATAAGCCAAAAGCTCATTTCGAAAGTAATTGCACTGAATTCGGTTCCGTATTCTGTAAATAATTAGTAAGAACTAGCTGAACTGCCTCGTTGGCCGAGTGGTCGCAAGTGCGACTGCCGAGCAAGGGGTCTCGGGTTCGATTCCCGGGTCGGGCAAAGTATTACTAGGTTTTTAAAATCTCAGTAGTAGCACGGAGTATGGCAATAGGGTCACCCCCTTGCAGCACCTAGCCTCCTGTAGGAGTCAGGTGGCCGGCAGGTAGGTAGGTAGGGGTCCAAATAAAGTACACTTTTTTAGAAGTAGTTCACTCTATTAATGCCAATTATCTGTTGCCCCAATCACGTCCAGGTTCGGGGTAATAGGTACGCTGAGAACACTGGCCTGAACCGTGGAGTAGCTCTGCAGGCGGTCCGGTCTCGTTCCAAATGCACTTCCAGGTCTTCAGCAGGGCCTAGGTAGTTCCCAGGTAGAAGGAGGTCTGGTCTTCCACTCGCCGCCAGGTAGATGGCCGCGACGCGAGGTCAATGGTAGAACATAAATCCGCCAGGTAGATGGCTGCGATGCGAGGTCAAAAGCAGAACGTAAATCCGCCAGGTAGATGGCTGCGATGCGAGGTTAATTGTAGAACATAAATCCTGGAAGCGCAGATACAAGGCAAGCGTTAGCAGAGCTCGGACCACGTAGCCGGGTCCAAAGGTCACAGTGTCCCAGCAGACAAAGAAAAAAGGAATAGCCGCTGCTAGCGAGAAATTAAGAAGAAGAAACACCTTACAATAGCAACACTTAAGCAATACATGGAAACTTACCCCAGCGGGATTCCGATTACAATTTATATAATTGATTTAAGGTAGATTTAGCTAGGTAGGTAAGTACGATCTTGCAACGTAGGTCGTCCGCGATCGAGTGACACAGCCGTCACCTCTGATGCCTTTAAGTTGACTGTTCGTTGGATTTTACGAATGCGCCCGAGACGAGCCGACACGACTAGTTATTAACTCGTTTAGAGATGCGTAGGCGCAATAGAAGCGAGGACCTTTGCGTAAACAATTAATATTGGGTTCCGTAATGTTTTTATATAAAATTAAATATTTTAATGCGTTTTAAATTAGTAAGTAGTAAGATGTGTTTCTTTTTGTTTATTTAGTGTATTTTAATAATAGTTTTAGAATAATCTATTGTAATTATTTATAATTTATATGATTTCGAAGCTATTTTTAGGGCAAACAAGGTAGGTACAACGTTACACCCTATTACATGGGACTCATAACATAAATAGTGAACAGTGGGTGTTACATTGTACAGTGGCATTAAGTGCCGAAATGTGCACCTCTGCCTACCCCTTCGGGAATAAACAGGCGTGATGTTATGTTATGTTAACCAGCTGAACTGGCAAACTTCGTTCCATCAAAAAAAAATATTTTTCTCACCTTTTAAACCTTCCCTGGACTTCCACGAACATTTTAAAACCAAAATTAGCCAAATCGGTTCAACAGTTCTCGAGTTTTAGCGAGACTAACGAATGGAAATTCATTTTTATTTAGATTATTATCGAGTTTCGAAATTCGAAGCTTAAATATTAAATTGGTTTATTACAGAACCACACTGCTGTTGTTGTCTAACAACAACGTATTACATTGAATCAGAAGTTATTGAATCCACCTTCTACCGAAACCTTAAGGAAGACCCCGCTAAACACAAAGATTAACTAGTGTACCTAATCTGAGGCCTTAGTATGAGTTTGTTTTACGTTAAAAGTAATCGAAACGAGACCGCGTTCGATGCTCTGATTGGTTGGTTTATTGAAGCCGGCCAATCACAGCGCCGAACGCGTACTAAGGCCAAAAACTCGTAGTAAGGCCTCTGGTCCATGCTTGCATCATAGTCATCGTGCGATTTGGAACGACATTCATATTTCATAGATTATGTTTTGCTTCCAGGAACGCTGCGGCAGAGAGGCCAACTTGCTGTACCCCGACTGAACTAGTCTTCCTTAAGTATTTACCACTTTTATATTGTAGCTATACTTATTCATTTAGTTCATTCTTAGGACAGTTTTATTAAATTGTCCACTTGTTTTCCCTCAATGTATGTCGCTCGTTATATATACGTATGTCTTGTCAACATCTTAAATCTATACTTTATGTGGTCATTGTATGAGAAAATCCAGTTATTTTCATAGTATAATCTTACTCGAACTTGTCTGTAGTCCAACTTGCTTTAAGAAGAAAAACTATGTTTTTATAATAACTATCGTGAGACATACTAAATTAACTAAAAATCGCGGGTTACTCACGTGAATATACCGAGAAAGCTCTACTAGTTTCGAACCACAGAAGATAGGATTCTTACTCATGAGCAGCGTGCTCCTTCTGTGGTTCGAAAATATTAGAGCTTTTCTCAGTACATTCACGTGAGTAACCCGCGATGTTTAGATAATTGATAAAAACTATAATGAAATGAAAAATTTTAAAACGGTACTTACTTGAGCAAATTAAAAGACTTATTACGCAAAATAATACAAGCTGGATTATCTTATGTATTGACGATATCTGATCTCTGAAACCATTGAATGTGAAAAGAAAAAGGTTATTAGCGTAGGACAATATGAACAAAGTAATTGGACGTCCCAATGCATGTGTATGCGCAAAGAAGAGACTTGTGGAAGTGACTTATATGTATAATGCTGTAAGGAGGATAAATAGGTATTCGACCAGTGGAGTTAAACGTCTGAAATATTACTATTGCTATGTCGGGCATAAAAATAAAAAATAAAACGAAAAGTGCAACTTTAAAAGGTTTTATTTCTATTGAGCTTATTTAAAAATAATGTTAATAGTATAAACATTTGACATTTGTAGTAGAACAATCGCATTTCACTTGCTTTTAAGTTAAATGTAGCTGCAGCACAAATCGATGCATTTATTAATATGAAATATTGATTTATGATTTATGGATGTTAGCTGCCACGAAAACGTATTCACAGTGAAAAGTATTAGTCAATGCTCAAAATGAGGAACGAATTGCTTACAATATTTCCTGACCTCTTTACAACTTTGTCAGTCATAAATAAATTAAAAGAAAAATATAATTTCTGGCAGCTATATAAACTTTTGCGCACAAAAGTTAAAAGCGCAGATTCGAATAAGTAAGTACCTATCTACCGACAATTGTCTAGCACTTGTATGTATTATTAAGTTTGGGACAATAAATTGTTTATGAGGCTCAAAATTTAGGTCTGTTGTCGTTTATTTTTTATAATCTTTACTCCCTAACTATGAGCTAAAGCTCGTAAAATATAGAGGTATATATGTAATTATTGAAAACAATAAATCACGTGTTTAATCAATTGATTTTGAGCCAACCAACCAACAAGGCGGCTTTGTTGTAAGTTTTATTAGGTGTGTACTGTGTAGATATATTTAGGAACCTGCGCTAACGATTTGATGTACAGTCAAGCTATTTAGTACCTACACAGATAAAAATTAACGATTGATTAAGTATAGAGACAGTAAGTATAGTCACCGTTGAAATTGATAACAAATTGAAATCGTTATAACTTTCGTGAGACATACTATATCAATTATTATGTTTTTGGCTTACTCACGTAATTATTTGACGAGGAACTCGATTCAAGCCATGCTAGAGGCTTATAGTCATTAGGCAGCGTTCCGTGACCCCCGACGCGGTGACTGTCGTGCTGCTGCTCAGCGGCCTCGGCATGCTCAAGCATGCTTTGAAACTGGTCGAGTTTCTCATCAAATAATTACGTGAGTAAGCCGAAAAACATAATAATTTAATCTCAATCGACTTATAGATAAATCTTTGTTAATATATATTTTTGAAATCAGATTACATCTGAATATTGAATGTTTGATAAACATGGATCGTTTCAGAAATTTTTATTACAATCTTTTATCAATAATTTCAGTTGTCAAATAGTTATTTATCGTTAGTGCAGGCTATGAAGGTGCCATACAATTTAGAGGCTATAATAACCATATCAATTTTGCCAAGCGAATTTGGTACTTATGTATTATTAGACTCGTATCATTTAAGTTAGATATTGCAAGATATGATACTTTATCGATGTTTATAAAATTGTGACTATAATCTGTAGGTGAAAGCTAAAGGACCTTACTTAAGTCGATTTTTTGTTGTCTTCGGAAGGATCATTGGCATACAAACATGTTAAGGATTATTGATAATACACTTGCGTGTAAAGAAATGGAGCCACCAGCGGTTTTTCTTTCGTGATTGATACAAGTATTTTATTTATTGATGATATATGGCGTATAAAAGGCAATTTAGTGAGTGAAATGAAATATAATAACATGAATACATATTTACAACTTAAAATTAAATACAACTAAACAACTGGTTACTTTTAAAATGTTGTTTAAAATGTTAAACTATTTGTTGTAAAATGTAGTTTTTTTAAAGTTGGAGGGTTCGAAAATAGGAAAAAATACGCTGGTGGCCGTTTCTTTGCGCCTAGGTGTAGAAGACCGCTGACAGAAGGACTAGAATGTGTTTACACACACAAAAGCGTATTTTCTATTGTTTTGTATCCATGTTTTATTTGTCTTTAAAACTTCTATCTGATAGTTCATTGATTGATTGTTTTGTAAAATTATATTAAACACATACTTAGATGGCGTTATGTGAAAAACTATAAAATCGCTCTTGAAAAAGTGAATAAAACTGATTAGGTACTAGAATAAAAGGTCACGGTATATTAGTTTGTAGAGTACCTAGTCTCTGAGTTAGCCCCAATAATTATCGAAATGGAAATAGCCAGAATTATATAAAAATATTTACTCATATTATACTACTCGACTTTTATGATTTAGCTATTAATCATTTTTGTTAAGTTAAAGATATACACTTTTTGGAACACTGCTAAGGCGTATGTACCAAAAGTAATTTCTCTGTTCGTTATTATTTTATCGAAACGATGTAGTCTTCTGCTTCCTGTAACCTTTATAGTTCAAAGTACCAACCACTGCACACAGACTGACCGAGACACTACACTCCGGGACTACTCTACAAACTACATACATAAAAATAACTTAGTCGTTTCCATGATCGTTCTGCAAAAACCGTCACCTCTTAGTCTATAATATATTTTTGTATTTATGTCTGTTCGCATTTTGAATCAAGAATTATGATTAGTCTATAAATCCCTTGAACATTTATTTGCAAATGAAATTGGACCTTATCTGGTAGGCTGTATTATCAAAATTTGGCACCTTCTTGGATAAATTTGTAGTTATGTAAAATGCTTTTGTACATACATACGACATACATGTTAACATGAATGTTAGTTAGGGTGTACAATTATGGTCTGTCCCAGGCAAAGAGAATGGCATTTAGATAAAACAAAAAAAATCTTTCGTTGGATTGTAATTATACCTTTCACTTTACCTGGACTAACCAATCCTGGTAAGGTTTAGATATGGATACCGACATGGTCGTTAAGTCGAATTTTTACTAGATTATCAACTCATATCTTTTTTTGTAATAAAGTTGAAAATCTAGTAAGCGATTTATTTCTCTAAATAGGTTTAAAGTATCATCACTTTTACTCTGAGAAGATTGTTCAAAACAGAAACAGATATATCAGTCTTTTTATAAATGTTTATTATCTGGGCCAAACGTTCGTACAGACGCACAGAGATTAGTGACTGGTTTCTATTCAGTTATTTGTATTACAAAACCAATACGAACACACAATACGTTAAATTTGTGAAAAATATTTGAAGTACGTAAATAAAATGCCGATATATTTACAGAAACCTATCTTTTTGTAGTCTCTGAAACTGTAATGTTAAATGTATAACGAATTAATCATAATTTTTTATAGAATGTATGTATAAATTGATGTGAGAAGTAATTGGAATTCCAATAAAGAAATGTGTATTCTTATATGTATGTGTTAGATGTGAATATTAAATAATTTGTCCAAAACATCTATTGGCAACTATAATTATGTAATCTTTGTCTATACCCAGCTAGCAAAATTATTATTATAGAACTACTTTTAGTTCTATATAAGTCGAATCGACTTATAATGGCCCCTTTTTAATTTTAATGTAATACCCTTAGCGCCACTCGGTATAATAAACTAACTTTCCGTTCGCGACTTCGCAAGCGTTGTTTAGGATGTTAATATCATCATCATCATCATCATCATATCAGCCACAGGACGTCCACTGCTGAACATAGGCCTCCCCCAATGACTTCCAGATAGGTCGGTTGGACCGTTGGAAGCGACCTGCATCCAGCGGCTCCCGGCGACCTTAATCAGGTCGTCTGTCCATCTTGCGGATGGACGTCCTACACTCGATTACCTTTCTGCCTCAGCGGCCATCGGTTCTCCGCGCTGTGTGCCCTGTCCACTGCCACTTCAACTTGCTAATCCGTTGGGCTATTCGGCGACCTTTCTCCGTTTGCGGATTTCCTCGTCTTTTATCTGATCTCGCAAAGAAACTGATCATAGCCCTTATGACGGATGTTAATATAGGTAAGTACATGTAAACTATTATAACCCTTTCTCCTGAATCGCTATCTATCCATATAAACCGCTTCAAAATCAGTTGCCTAGTTTTAAAGATCTAAGGATACAAAGGGACAGACAGCGCTAAGCGATGCTTTGTTTTAGTACTAGGTAGTGACAACTCTGCGTTATACCAACACTTCATAATAAAAATATCGAGCATACTGGTGTCAGATTTCTTTTATATCATAAATGTTCGGTGGGCTTACAACTAATAGAGTTCTACACGTTTACAAGTCTATGCACAGCACATAAAATACTCTTCGGGACATCGTGGTACACTGATTTGCAGTTTGGCGCAGTTCCAAATTTTCTCACATCGGCATCGTGACCGGAACTTTCTCTTACCAGGGATGGGGATCAAGTTCTGCGAGAATGACCCTGAAGAAGATTTACCGTAATAACTCAGCTTTGGTAATAGTCGGGGAGTCGGTAATCTAGTAGTTTCCTCGTAAACCTCAGTAGTTACTGTTGAATCTTCTTCGTATTTCTCAGTAATGGTTTCGTCGCTTGCAGTTGTTCTCTCTGTCTCATCGAATGTTCTGTCGCTGGTTATACTCTCAACAGCTACAATGTCAGATGTACTTTCTTCAGGTTTTTCGCTTGAAGTTTCTTTAATATCTTCAGTTGAAGGGATAATCTTCTCTGTTGTAGATTTTGGTTTGTTTTTGATGGAGTATATCCTGTCAGAGTAATTATAGATAGGTTGGCTATAGTTAGCTTGCGAGGAGCTCCTTATTTCCTTCTCAGCGTCAGTTGGTATCGTAACATTTTCTATTCTAGATTCGGTTTTGGCAGTTTTCAGTGCAGGTTGTGTCGGTTCTAAAGGCTTGATATAAGTGATATTGCTGTTTTGTTGAGGCGCTGTCTGTGCTACGCTCACGCACACTAGTAACGGGATCAGTGATCTGAAAAAGAAAATTTTTTTAGCAGGGTGTTATCTCACTGCGGTTTGCGATATGGAGGGTAAGCCGTGGGCTCCACATATGGTCACCTTATTAGGGGTGGGTATGAGGAGGGGGAGTGATTGGGCCTCTGGTAGCATCACTCAAACGGCGAAACACAAAGCAAGCGTTGTTTCACGCCGGTTTTCTGTGAGGCCGAGGTATCGAGTCGAAGCATGGCTCTCTCTGCGTATCAACTACAACTACGCGACTACGCAACGGTCTATTTGGCCATGTCATAAAAAATGTATGGAAAACGACGCTGCAACGACGCAAGGCCTACTAATGGGGCCTCACCCTCAATTGCTGCTTACTGCATAGGTATTCTTGGCCACGTGACGGGTTTGTTTAATAAGTACTTACATAAATGAAAATTGATTACTTTACCGACAATTAAACATTTTATTGTTTCGATATTCAATTGAATAGTTTAAGAACATCATAACCAATATACTGCCTCGTTCTACTCAAATCGTTGTAGTGTATTCTTTTGCAATTACCTAAATGCTGTAGATTGTGGGATTACTATAAGGATCGGAACGTTAGGAGCGATGTGGCGACGTCAGAAAATTAAAGGAATACTTTATTTGTTCCTAGGTAAGTATTTTCATAATAGTCAGCAACTAAATACCAGTAAGAACTGAGAAATTAGTTTCTGAGCCTGTCCACATCTCCACGTCGCGACATCAACGTCAACTTGAACGGTGTGGTGTGGCACCGACTTCTTACCTATCAGTCTATCAGTGGGTGGGTAATCTATCAGTACTAATAATAGTTATTTTTTGCTTTTTAGTCATGATTTTGAAGTCGGTTTTTTGGTGTTAAAAATTGAGGGGGCGACATTGGGGAGGGAGGGAATTGGGTGTACGGTAATCTCACACGGCGAAACACAACCAAAGTGTTGTTTCACGCCAGGTTTCTAGGACTCTGGTCGATTCGGCCCATTCGTGCCTAAGCAGGGTCTCCCACACTTACGTTGCGCAACGCACTAATGGGCCTCGCCCTATGATAGCACGTACCGTACTGTTCCACGTTGCCGATGTCGTGACGTGGAGATATTGGTCCTATACATAAGCTTTTATTGGATATCGTCTGAAGATGTACATATGAACAGCAGTTTTATGTACAAAGATATAATGATGTTCAGATAGGCATCCTATGTGTAATTGTGTAGTAGAAAGGTTACAACTGATTTTATTCAATGACATTGTTACAGTCGCATTCACACTAAGCGTAGAGTTCACGAGCGCACAATTAGAGGAAAATGGCATGAATCTTTACAATAATAGAAGGATGGGACGCCTAAAAAATAAGTCACCCAAGCAGAAACTGTGGGCCCCCGGAACTCTAGACAATGATAGAAAACTCTCACATGAGAGATCACAGAAATACAACATGTCAGTCCGAAATAAAGAAGTCTTACGCGAGAGATCACAGAAACGCAATATGACAGTTCCAAATAAAGAACTCTTACGTGAGGGATCAGAGACATACAACATGCCAGTTCGAAACAAAGAACTCTTACGTGAGGGATCAGAGACATACAACATGCCAGTTCGAATTAAAGAACTCTTACGTGAGAGGCCAGAGACATACAACATGCCAGTTCGAATTAAAGAACTCTTACGTGAGAGGCCAGAGCCATACAACATGCCAGTTCGAATTAAAGAACTCTTACGTGAGAGATCAGAGCCATACAACATGCCAGTTCGAAATAAAGAACGCTTACGTGAAGGATCAGAGACATACAACATGCCAGTTCCAAATAAAGAACCCTTACGTGAGAGATCAGAGAAAACCAATATGAGAGTTCGAAATATCAGTGGCAGTGTAGTAGAATCGGCCACGCCGAAAGCTAGTCGTCGCTTGGCAACTGTAAAGTATCATTCCGATATAAGTAAGGAGAATATTAAACTCTGTCAAATTATAGCTTCAACATACCTTGCTTCGTAAGTCTTATCCTGGATTTAATTACAAAATAAGTCAATGGATTAAGTAAATAAAGTCCATAGCCATCATCTTAAGTTCCAAGGGTAAGCAGGTTTAGTTTATGGAACATTCGTGACACCAATGCGAGTGTGAGCATGTGCGGTAAACGTAAGCACGCGCGCGGAGTTAATATTGTTAAGTAAATAATTATCAGTTATATAACCTTTAAATTATTTTATTTTTATTTAAGACTTAGTACAGTAACAAATGTACAGGTGGACTTAATGCCTTGGGCATTGTCTCACAGTCGACCTTAAGGTGGTGCAGAGATGAAAGTGGCCTTTACCAACATAAAATACTTATCTACATATTTCAGTTATGCAGATTTAAGAGCACACTACAATCTACGTTACTTCTACCAAGGAAATTATGAATACGAAGCCGGATACTTAGTGAACGATATACTAGCGAAATATCAAAGAATGCTAGAAATTTTTCACATCGCTCAAAATCGATATTTCAAACATTTGAACAAACACTATATAAAAACCAACTACATGCTGTATTTGTATACCAATATTTTGACGTTGGGGAAGACGACCGGTCATATGGTTAACTCACTTACTGAACTGGAGATCAAGTACAAAGGTTTCCCACCAACAGGCTTTGAAGATTACCACATCGGGAAAAAGAAAAAGAAGAAGAGTAAGTTTGGTTTCATGTTAACTACCTACCTGTATGGAAAATCTATATGTATAGATACATAGATACCTAGATCTGGAAATTAGCTCGTAAACAAATTATTTGCATTCCGCGCGCGCCTCAAAGAGCCATCAGACCACCAAGGATGGGGCCCAATAGGGCTGATGCCGATATGAAACCGCGGAGAACTTAACGGGTTACTGGGGCTCCGGCTCGAAGTGCAGGAGAAGGAATGGTGTGGATTTTAGTCAGTAAGAGTCTGACACTCCCTCCCGGCTCACCCAGGAGGAAGAAGTCATTCGATGATTTTCCCCCTTAAAAATAAAACTTATTTAGTATTATAAATATATAAAACTGATTTTTATTTCAGAAAATGGTACATCTTTCGATATACCTCCTGAATTCCAGGAATCTATCGATGAGTATGAAAGGAAGTTGCGCAACTCAAAGAAGCAAAGGAAACGAAAGCGCAAGAGAGACAGACTGCAGAACCTGTACATTGGATACTGGCCGACCACTCCCGTCAGGAAACCAAACAGCAGGTTAGTTTACAACTTCGCAACAAAATTAGCTGACGTGTTCATAAATCATAAAATCACGCCTTTTATCCCCGAAGGGGTAGGCAGAGGTGTCATTGTACAATGTAACACCCACTTTTCACTATTTTTGTTATGAGTCCCATGTAGTAGGGGTGAGCCTATTGCCATATACCGGGCATAATTCCAGTCTCCGTGCTACTATACTGTGAATTTTTTGAAAAACCCGGCAAAGTATTACTTACTTTGCCCGATCCGGGAATCGACCCCTTGCCCGGCAGTCGCACTTGCGACCACTCGGCCAATGAGGCAGTCACTGCTAACGTGTTCCTTTTACAAAATCCCTTTATTTATAAAATGAAGATTTCAATAATTCTTTTACAAGCTACGTTGAAAAAAACCGACTACAATCCCCTCCTACTGAGGTCGGTTTATTAATATACTGAAACCACGTTCTAAGTGTAACGAACACTTTTCTGAACACCACGTCACGTCAAAATCGGTTCAGCCAATCGCGAGACAATCGCGCACAGATATACATACATACAGGTTAAACTGAGAACTTCCTTCCTAACGTAACTTAAAATGTATTTTATTCGCTGAGTACTGGATTATACATGCCTTTTTTTGGTATTAGTGACTGCCCATTTTTTATAATTTCATGTCCCATTGTCCCCGAAATGAACTCTGGGACGCAAAATTTTCCCGTTCTCGGAAACCACGCGATTTTAAATAGTCGATATGTACAGTGCTATAATTAACTCGCAAATTTTTGACGAAGTACAGTCGAAAACTCTTTAAGTTAACTAAAAACGCGGGTTACCCACGTGAATATACTGAGAAAAGCGACGTCGCAGCGACCTGCACGCTGCTCATGGGGAAGAACCCCTCTGTGGTTCGAAACTAGTAGAGCTTTTCTCAGTATATTCACGTGAGTAACCCGCGTTTTTAGTTAATTTAGTATGTCTCACGATAGTTATTGTCAAAACTCTTTAAGTACCTACCTACTACATATTTGTACAGTTAGTAATGTTAACTTTTTTGTTGTGGGCACAAAGTTTGTGTTTACAAGACAGGTTCTATAATAGGATCTGATCTAGGTACTAGATGCCTGACTAAACCTAAATATACAGTTGTCCCGTTTTGATCCAAAAAATAAATGGTGACGTTAAGTATGATTCTCTTTTTTCAGTGGTGGTTGGCCAATTGAATACGGATGGAGTATAGAGCACGTATGGTGATCGCCAGCTCCCTTCTGCTCGTCAAATACATATGTATAACCATGTACAGTCACAGGTCAAAAGTCCACTGCCACTGTGAGTGATGTTCACACGCCAATGCGTAAGTAATTTCATATTAATGTGCATAAAACGTACACATATACACGAGCACGCGTGCGCACGGCTAAAAATATGCGTGTGCATGTGTGTATAAGCTCTGCAGCGCAACCGATAGTAGTCTTACGGTGGCAGTGGACTTTTGACCTTTGATGACCGTACCTACATACATATGTAGTATATTTGTGTCCATCGTGATGTCACGATGGACACAAATAACAAATATTATAATATTTACGTGTGTGAAAATTTAACGTGAATTCAATATTGTATTCCAATAAATAAATATTAAAGGTAACTATTATAATTTGTATTTTTGTACAAAGGGTGCCCTTATCATCTACAGAATTTCTTTACTTGTTTGCACGAGCGAATCTCCTGAACTACTGGTTTCGAATCGAATAATTCTTTTTGTGTTGGATAGTCCTATCGACGAAGCCTAAGTATAGGCTATAAAATATCACGCTACGATCATTAGGAGCCGAGCAGAGCGGTAACTAGTAGATTTTTTTAAACAAGCTTTTATACAGCTCTGCACATGAAATTATGGCAAACCCTTCTGATGCAATAGACGCTCAAAGTCAAGCAGTAAACCGCCGTGAGCTATTCATGATGATGAGGAAAAACCGAAACAAAGAACATTTCACTTATTTTGCGACACTATTCTATATATCTATATATATGAGTAACAGTACTCAAAGGGATGTGACATGAATAGTGTGAATGATGACAGCATTATAGACACAATTAAAGAACAATTTTCAATTTTCAAGGTTACGGTCACCGGTGTCCTCGCGGTGTTTGAAAGTTTAATCTTATACAAAAGAAGCCCATTGTCTATCAATGGCCTGTTGATTATAATACTAACCATACTGCACTAACTGTACGTCATCATACTCATTATTAGAGTGAGATATTAATAAGTAAATGTACCTGAGACCACAGTGTTTACCCAAATATGTATGTGTATGTGTATGTGTATGGAAATATGACATAAGTAAATCTCCCAATCAATTTCGATCATGATGGTGATGGCCCATTACGTAGGAAGTGTGTGCGCAAACACAAGTGCACTGCACTCTCTGTTGTCTCTCTGAATGGCAGACCGACATGGCCGGAGAGAGATCAGGCGCAGGACTAACGGCTTCATGTGCTTCTCGAGTCGCAGAGGTAAAACACCGCCGAACTTTCGGTCTCCGAGCTAATAATGATTATTTTGCTCACAAAATGCCATTATTACTTGACTAGTGCGGGAATCGAACCCGCGACGCATAGCACAACAGCCGGTCTCACAACCACTTCGCCAACCGTGCAGTTACTCATGACATGTATGTCTTATTTTTGTCTATAGTCGGAATTTTAATTAGATTCCAGATTTGACAATAGCTACTGTCATTTTGTGAAATAATGATACCACATATAATAGTGTAGTAATGGACACAAAAATCGATAAACAATCAGTGTGTGTTTTATAATAAATGTTACAGAAAGTGACACGATAGCGATAGCGATGACGGCGACAATTTATAAAATAACTTATTACCATAATACATCTATCTGTTTTATTTGTCATGTCCTTCATGATTACATTTTTTTTAGTTATTTCACATACAATTATAAAAGAAAAGTCTCAGATCTTTAAGTAATCGTCAAAACTAAATTATCGGTCAGAAATATTTAATTTCCTGATATCCTTAGTTTACGAGAGTAAAATTATAAACGAGAAGAATCGATCCAGAAATATTGCATTTCCATATCGAATAATTTCGCAACGTCACTATTTAGTACTTGTCATAACGTTGTAACACAGAAATTGTCAAATCTGGAATCGAATTATAATTCCAAGTATAGAGTCAATATTGACAGACCTTGACCCAGCGCATGAGTGTGTAATAGGATGTGTACATAGGTCGCTAGTAATACATTGAAATGTATCGGATCGCCATATCAGTTACATAAGGTTACATTGGACAGTCAGCAAAGTACTTCTACTACAGAGACAGTAACCATTGGTTGGTTGCTGGTACCTATATAGGCACTGTTACACATGCTAACAGAGGCCTTAGTACAAGTTTGTTTCTCGTTTAAAGTAATCGAAACGAAAACGCGTTCGGCGCTCTGATTGGCCGGCACCAATGAACTAACCAATCGGACCGCCGAAGGTAGTCTTGTTTTGATTACTTTTAACGTAAAACAAATTCGTACTAAGGCCTCAGGTTACAAAAGATTTCGCTTCCGACCAACCCCGAGACTGCTCTGCTGTTGCGTGTTGCGCCTTATGCTTTGTTCGCACTACGCTTGTATTTTATACGAGTGACGAGTATTATTAGCCTTCTCTCGCTTTTGTCCCAAAGTCGAAGCGAAAGAGAACTATTAAAAACTCGCCACTCGATTAAAATACTAGCGCAGTGCGAACAAGGCTTTATTTACAGTTGGGTGCAAAGAAACGAGACCTAGTGGTCTCGTTTCTTCTTTTTTTTATCAGTTCTTGATAAATATTTTGTGATACAAGTATTTTATTCATCATAACATCATAACATCACCCCTTTTTACCCCCGAAGGGGTAGTAAGAGGTGCACACAGAAGTAACACCCACTTTTCACTATTTATGTTATTGCTTAGCCTATTGCTTGCCATATACCGGGCATATTTCCAGACTCCGTGCTACTACTGAAATTTTTTTTTAAACCGAGTAATACTTTGCCCGACCCGGTATTTTATTTATTCATTAGTAACGTATGTCGTATAAAAGGCAATTGTTTAGGTACCTTTAAAATGTTAGCATTTTGTAGTACAGGGATATTTTTTTTTAAGTTATAGAAGGTTCAATAAAATGCAAAAAGAAAAACAGTAGTGGCTCCTTTCCTAGTGTACATCTCAAGTGTACATATGTATATGTAATTCACATGGTTATGTTTATTAATTATCCTTGATATTGGTCACATACATATCTGTTGTCACGCAGTATTTTAGACATACACAGATAATAATAGTATCAATATTTGATTAGTACCTGTTTACCAAAGGTTGTCTTATATTAATATCTTATTGGGGTTCCTGGTGTGTGCAATTCGGTAGTTGACAACTAGTCAAATTCAATACTTTAACGAAATTTCAAAAATTGATATTATTTCTATAACCTATATGTAGCAGATTACAACATTTGACGTCATAAAATTATTGCGTTAAATCGCGTAATTAAAAATGTAAAAATTCTTAAAAAAATACTAGAATTATTTTTATATTAACGATTTTTTTAAATAATATATCGTATTGGAAAGTCCGTAATCATTTATTTATAAGTTAAAACTATCCAATTGGGCCTACATCATCCACAAATTAAACCTGAACCTTAATACATAAAGGGCGGTTGGTATTGGTATGTGGGGCACCAAGATACCGGCTGTGCCTAGTTTGGGGGCCCACGGGCACCTCTGCCGTGTTTGCGTTTATGTGTAATGTAACTCTACATGTAATGTAACTTGTGTATGCCAATAAATATTTATTTTTTATGTAAATTACAATTTATTGTAATTATTTTATTTGGACGGAACCCGTACGCGAGTGTAAATCACACTTGCAACTAACAATATTATTTTATTATTAGTTGTAACAATTCTACGGCTGAAATAAAATTTTCAGCCTTGCAAATTCAATCAGCGCCATATAATGCGACATTATAGGTACATGTTGCACCTTCAATGTTACATGATCAAGGTTTTGTTTGAAATATAATTTTTAGCAGAAAAAAAACACGAAAGATGTAAGTGGACGGTTAATTGTGCCTGTAAGTGTATAGATAACCGCGGAGAACCTAATGGGTTGCCGGGGCTCCGGCTCGAAGTGCAGGAGTAGGAACGGGGTGGTTTTCAGTCAGTAACAGTCTGACACTCCCTCTCGCCTCACCCTGACGGGAGCAGACATTCGATGATTTTCTCCCCTTAAAAAATATAAGTAGGTAGGCCTTTTGTTAGAAATTTCACGTTTATTTAGCATCAAACAACATACTTATTTCTTGAAAATTTTCTGGAAAAATACTTTTGTCATAAAATCAATTAATGAAAGTGTGATATTTTTTAAAATATTTTATTGTATTGAACAGTCGAATTATTTTATTTTTGATTAAGGTAAGTACCCAATTGACATCTTACAGATTAGCCTAGCTGTGTCTTGGTGCACGAGGCCTTGAAAAGGCCCGTAATATTTGCTACTCTTGTTACGTTGGTCTACGACAGTCGGCATAATTTGATGTAATATTTAATTATGAGAGTTTAAGGTTACCTACACAGGCTTCATTGCAGGCACCATTAACCTTGCATTGTTCATAAGCTAAACTTGTTAGATAATGACAAAAACATTCAAAGAAGTTCATGCATTAATATTTTATATGATAATAATTATTTATCTTTAATTATTAGTCTTGAAACTGTAGTAGTCGTAACATAACAAAAACATTACATTCCGTAGTTAGATCTTCGGCTCGTGTCTTTGCATTCCCTAGTTAGGGTAGCAACGAGTACCTAATAGGTATGCTGAAATTAGGGCGCGCGTTCGTGTTGTGTGATTTTTTCTGTCAATAGCGTGATGATCGGTAACCTTCATAACTAAACGATAATAATAAATCAATCATTTTATTGGCTTCAACTCGTGCCCAATAGTAATTATAAATAAATAAACAATTCTAATCTCACAGAATTAACTAATTTGTATTTAATTTATAACCATTCTGCGTTATTTTTAGTGCAACCGGATAAACAAATTATGCTTAATAAAGTAGAGTAGGGCAAATGAGATAAGTAAAAAATTATATAATTAATAGGTACATTGATCTCATCTTCAATTTTGTATATGGACGTAGGATTAGAGGCGAGCTAGACACGCTAGGTAAGTAAACTCTAGATATATGTAAGTAGATAACTTCGTTACAGAAAATTGCCTAATTAAGGTACATAGTGACATCCCAATAAGGATCGGATCCCAATAAGCCAATGAGGCTCACGTTTGAATACACACACCACCCATGTCCATCTCTATCTTTTAATTTTGCACGCCTGCTACTCATGCATGAGGATGCGAGTTCGAAACCTGGAATGCACCTACCATACCACAATGTCACTTTTTCGAGTTATATGTATTTTCTTCCAAGATTATCAGTTGGTTGACAAGCGGTGAGGGAAAACATCGTGCAAGCGAATGTGATTGCTCAAACCTTCTCCGTGTGAGAATAGGCCTTTGCTCAACAGTGGGCCCTTATAAGCTGTTGATGTGTTGTGACGGGTGTTTTTGGGGAAATAAACTGAGTACTAAAGAATAAAAATTACCGTGCCAGCACTCGTTTGAAGGTTTGAACCATGAAGTAGTATCTAAAAATCAGCTAATCATTCTGTCTGCAATTAATCGCGGCATAATGGCATTCCCTGTATTGTTTAAATAACAATGAATAGTTTTTTACTTCTACAACCATGTTGCGTTTTATCTCTGCTAAGTTGTGAATGTGTATTTTAATTTTATTGTGCTATTAGACGAGGTAGTATTTTAGAAAGATTTTAAAATCGGTCAAGTGTGAATTTTATAATAATAGGTACAAAGGAGGTTGG